TATATATATATATATATATATATATATATATATATATATATATATATGTATGTATGTATGTATATATGCCTGTGCTTGTGAAAGCCAGAGGCATGCATCAGGTGTCTTCCTCCTCAATCACTCTCCACTTTATTTTTTGAGGCAGGGTCTCTCTCAAAAAAAAAAAAAACTGAACCAAGCTGGCTGACCAATGAGCTCTAGGGATCTCCTTGTTTGAGCCTCATATGCTGGGATCCAAACCCTGGTCCTCATGCCTACATGGCAAAGACTTTTTCAACTGAGCCATCTCCCCAGCCCATGTCTCCTTCCTTGTTGACACAACTCTTGTGTAGCTTCACTCATATTCTCATCAAGGTTGATACACAGGGTTTTCTACCAGTTTTCGTCCTTTAATAATCATCATAAGACTTCAGACATCTCAGACAATAACTCCGATCTACATTTTCATAAAATAATACAGTGATACATGCTTTTAGCATGTTTCATAGGACTCAACACCAATTCAGTGGAAATAAGAAGAAAGAAACAGCGTATCTGGATGTGTTGGGGAAATACTAGATCTCTCTTTTGAACACAGTATGCCAATGTACTAAGTTTTCTGACAAGTCCTATAGTAACAAAGCTTTTGAATTTTTGTTGCTCAGGTTTCTTTGACTGAAAGGAAACCTCTTAAGTAGGCAAACTGTACCCTGGTGTTCAGGACCAGAGAACCTGGGGTTATTCTCTGGCTCTAGCATTAGCCACTGGGTGATGGTCCACAGGACCCCTTCCTGCTCAGAGTTGCTGCCCCTTCATCTATAGAACAGGAAGATAAAAAGTCAGCTCAGAGCTGTGTCTTAGGGCTGAGTGGTCTGTGTTGCTCAGGGTGCAGTGGTGAAGTCTTCTGTGTGTGCTGAGTCTATCCACTCCTGAATGTAAGCCTTTCTACCCTTACATCCTCCTATAAATTTCGTTCTACATGACAAGTTGGGTTCTAAGTCAGATATGTACATTCTTGAGCTTGTGCTGATGAGCATACACTCAAATAGGTCAGAGATGTGCCAAGTTCCCTCTGAACTGCTAAGAAAATGGTATGTCATCCATATTTCCAAACTCACAGAGCCATCTTCCAGGCCTAGTAAAAACTAACCATGAAAGTAAATCTGACAATGAAAATAGTTCCTTGTGTATATGTGTGTGTGTTGAACCTATGGGCTGTGCTCAAGTGTTCCAGGCCTGGACAAATGAAGTATGACACCATTGTGACTCAGCATTTTACAGGGGCTGAAAGAAACTTCAGAGACCACAGAGGCCAGAAGCCCCAAATAGGGAACACACATGAGCCCACTAGCCTGCTTAAGAATTGAAATTCATATCACTCAGTTTTGCCTATGAGTATTAAAATTTTTTTTAGCTCCACATTTTTCCTTTTCAAATTTGTGTATAGTTCTCGTGTATCTTCATTGTACACAATTCTGTGTTACATAAAGACACGTCCACACATGTATTCATTGTACATGAGCGCGTCCACTCTCATACCAACCTCCCTCCCTTTTCTTGTTCTCATCAGTTCCTTGGATCCTCTGGACTGATTTGCTTCTACTTTCATACCATACAAACACACATGACTTTATGCATCTATATAAACCCATGAACCACAAATGAAGAAAAACATGGTATCATTTGTCTTCTTGAGAATGACATCTTTCCAATGCATCTGTTTTCCTGCAAGTGGTTTGGCTTTGTTTTTTGTTAGCCTTGTGTTTTAAAAGCAGAGGGCCTTATGTAAAGATCCATACATCCAACTGTTTTGTCCCCCATGCCAGGGCTCAAACACAGGGCCTCATACAAGTTATTTACCCACAAGCTACACCCCTGGCTCAAGATAAACAAAACAAAACAAACAAACAAACACACAAAACAAAACAAAAAACGAATAGGCTTTTCCAGGTCCTCCTTCCCTAACACGTGTGTCTAGGTCCAGAGGCATCTCTATTTCAGCGTCTCTCAGAGTTTATTGAGCACACAGCTCACATGGGATTCTGTTAAAATGCAGATTTGCATTCAAGAGTCTGCCTTTTTTTAATTCTTTTTATATTATGAGCGTGAATGTTTCGCTTGCATGAATGTATGTGTACCATGTGTGTGCCTGCTGCTGGCACAAGTCAGAAGAGAGCCCCAGATTGCACAGAAATGGAGCCACCGTGTAGAGCTGGGAGTGAGATGTAAGTCATCTTCAAGAGCAGTAAGTGCTCTTAATGCCGGAGTCATCTCTTCAGCCGCAGGAGACTGGCTTTCTAGAAGCAGGTCATAGATGCTGCTGACCTGCAGGGTAGACCTTCCCAAGTTCTGGGAATCAGGACATCCAGGGTCACACACTGTTACACAGACACTGGGAGCCAGGCTCTTGACTCCAGGCTAGAGTCTCGTGGTTCAAGCCCCATGTGTTACCTTGCCGCCGCTCACCTCCTTTAACTTTATGAAACGGAGAATGAGGAAATCCAATAGGATCAAGGCAGAACCGGATATGGTAGGACACATTTATGTGTGTGCTTGTGTGTGTGTAGGGGGTCATTTACTTTTGCAAATTAACTTGATTAACAAGGACGGCATTTAATTACAATTTTCTTACTCTGCTAGTTTCAGCAGTTCATATTTCAAGTCCAGCGACGGTTTTGACGGTTTTTGCAACTGGTAAGTTTTCCACTTACTTTTCAACTCACTTCCTTTCAGGGATAATATGATGTTGAAATTCTACCAAGCTAGCAGTTTTACTCCTGGCTCTCCAAGAGTCACCTGGCTGAAATAATATCTCGAGAAATAGACAAGATCCCAGAAGTAGACCAAGAGGGTCTCTATGCAGCCACGTCAAGAGCCCAAGTTCAAATCCAAGTGCTTTCATTCATGTTGGGGCAATCCACAAAGCCTCTCTCATAGTCTGCCAATGTGTGGTTGCTTTTCACATGCCCTTGGCACTTGGCTATCTGGCCTTCCTACTGATTGTACAGTAGGAAACGAATAGGCTAGAGGTGGGGTATAAGGATAGGGAGGGCTAGCACTGTATTGGCAATATGGCAGGGATGCTAGTTGATCTTACAATAGTCAGTATGCCCGCATACTCCTCCGTCCTTTGAGATACCTCTGTACCATATTGCGATACAGACAGAGTGATATTCTTCCCAGTGTGTCTGGATCATTCAAGTAGCAGGTTTCATCTCAGCAAAGATTTGATTTATAGCATCAGGGTGTGTATGCTTTGAATTTGGATATTTAACCTTACTCAGAAAGACATGAAATAACTACACTTCATACCAGTTTCGCTAACAACAAAGGTAGACAGCAGTAAAGGCGAGATTGAGTGTAACCAGAAAATGAGTGAAAGCTTCTGATCAGTTGCCTGACTTTCCTGTTTGTGTTTTGTATCAGGCATCACTCCCACTCTGGCAGAAGTAACTCCCTCACCTGATAAGGGCCTCTGCCCACCACTGCACAAGTAGGACAGCAGTGTGGTTGCCATGCCCTCGGGCTAAAATGAGGACAAGCTTAAGGTGGTGGACTTGGCCAGGTCAAACACACACACACACACACACACACACACACACACACCAGCTCCCAACACAGAACCACACACACACACACACACACACACGCCTCCCTCAGAGCATTTGTTATCACTGTGCTTTTACAACTCTTTATGAAGTGTTTGATCTTGTCTGTCTTCCCGTGAAATGGCCCTCTTTCTGGGGACTCAGATCATGTTGTAGTTTTGTTGTCCTTCTCTCCGGCATTAGAGAGGAAGAGGCACGCATGTGCAATGCTGGCACAAGAGAGTAGGCAATCAGAGAAGTTAATTAAATAAATGAAAACCTATTGTCCATGTTTCATTTCCTTGGTATTTAGTAGGTTTGGACAATTTACCTTCTTATTTGCAGGCTTTTTGACAACTGCCACTCCATCAAAAGTAGCTCCTTCACCTGACACAGGCCTCTGCCCACCACACTGCACAGGTGGCCACTGGGGTGGCTGCCATGACAGTGGGGTTATAATGAGGACAGGCTTGAGGGTGATTGTCACTGTCTTTGGGCAGAGTGCCTCATCAAACCAGACCCAGCACCACGAAAAAGGTGGCGGGAGGATCAGTAGAGATGTGGGAGCTCCTTGGCCAGGTCAGAATTTCTGACATGTACACACACAGATGCATGCACACACACACACATCATCATCATCATCATCATCATCATCATCATCATCATCATCTATAACCACTCCAATGGGTATTTTAAATGTTCTTTTTTTATTCTGGGATACTTAGATAAACAACCGTTTGCACCTCTGAGTCTCCTTGGCATTCATTCCGCATCAGTGGGCTTCCATTCTTCATTGTGTTGTGGAACCTAGTGAGAAGGGTAGCTCATTTGTTGTGTTGTACTTGGAAAGAGGTCCTGTTCGATGATCATATTGACCACCGTGAAAGAGCAATGAAAAGACATTCATTTCCTATGGGTATGTTGCAAACATAGGTGCGTTCAGGTGTGCAAATACCTAAGTATGTGTGCATGTGTACAGTACACATGGGTATACATATGTACACATGCACACTTTGCACGTGTGTGTAGAGCACAGAACAATCTCAGATGTCTTCCTCAGAAATGCCAAATGCTTCCTTACAAACAGGGTCTCTCCTTGGCCTGGAGTTCACCCATTAGACTATGCTGGCTGGCCAGTGAGCCCCAGAGATGCTCTGTCTTTGCCTCCCCAGTGCCGGGATTAAAAGTGCACACCGCTATGTCCGGCACTTTGTGTGGGTTCTAGGAATAAAACTCAGGTTCTCAAGCTTGTAATGCAAGTGCTTTACCTGATGGTCATTTCCCCAGCCCAAACCCTCAGGTAACAACTCCTGCTCTCTGGGTTTATACACAGATGTGTCTTTAGCCTTGGGAGAAGAGAAGACCTCGTCTGGTCATGCTTTCCAATGGTCATGTTTTGGGTTTTCCCCCTATAAAACATTTCCCCCTTTCTATTAAACAAATGAACCAAGCATGCCTCTTCCTCTTTGTCTACAGACACATCAACAGAATCAAGCCCTCCAAATGGTAAAGTCCCTCCCCACATTGTGTCATTTCTTATTTAGAAAATGGCCCTAACTAATGATCGTATCGGCCACAAAATAAAGACCAATGAAAAGACACGAGCAGTGTTGTTCTGCTCATTTAAAGCATCCTTTTCTCTGGTTTCCATACAGAAGCACCTTCAGTCTCAGCAGAAGAGGCCACATCCTCTGGTAATACTTTCAGCTTACGTTTCTGAAGTTAAATATATTCAGTGTGTTTGATCTTTCTGTGTGGAGGGAGGCTGTACGTGAGCTTCTTCTTGCCTTTGTGTATTGATACTACTTCAGCGTCAGCAGCAGTAATCCCTGCAGTTGGCAAAGCCCCCGCCGTCTTGCTTAACTAAAGAGATGTGTTCATTTTTAAGAGTGTTTACTAGCATGTTTAAATTAATAATGGGCTTCATTTTGATATTTCATGTATTTGTATATACTGTACTCTTATTATATTTGTTCCTCTATCCTCTCTTGTACCCTCACTCCCACTCCTGCTGATCTCCCTCTTGTATTTCTGTGTGGGATGTGTGTGTGTGTGTGTGTGTGTGTGTGTGTGTGTGTGTGTGTGCACTAGTGAGTATAAATTGGGCTACAGACCACTGAAGAAAATGTCTGTCCCCCCATAGCCATCATTTACTGACTATAATCCCCCAGCGAGGGAAAGAGCTCCATAAGTGACCCCCCTCCAAGATAGACTGACACTGGGATCAGTCTTACACAGGTCTTGGTGCAGGCAGTCTGAAGATGCAAGACAGCCCCAGGCACGCCCTACTCAGCAGACGGCAGGCCAAAGCAGTTTGACCCTTTGTCTACAACTTACATTCTCCTTTGGTTTTGAAGTTTTTCGTTTTTCTTTTTTTCTTCATATGTAGTATGAGTTAAATGAAGCACAAACTTAAATGACACCCATGATCAGCCCAGCTTCTCTTCAACAATGTTCCCTGATCTTGGAGGGGATGAGGGATGAGCATTCAAGTCAGCTGTTGTTAGCACTTTGAACAGTTATGACTCTCTGCAGTGACCACTACCCACTGCAAGAAGAAGCTTCTCTGACCACAGAGGAAATCAGCTCCAATCTACAGGCATAAACAGTTATTTAGATGTCAACATGAATAGCATGCAAATTCCATTTAGAAAAAAAATAAGAGCAGTTCCTTTCCCACTAGACCTACCACCCCCTATACCCTGGGACTGTGACCAGGTTCACGGTACTAGACTCCTAGAGAGTAGCCTCAGATCCAACCAGAAAAGGGTTGGTTACACCCACACCAGCCATGCCACTCTCACACCAAGGGTGCATCTCGCCTGGCAAACCAATAGTGTGACACTCGGGATCCCCACGGGAGCAAGACTATCAAGGACAGTGCTTCCCCAACCGCCTGAATATTACCACTCAGCACTGTGAAAGCTGGCCAACAAGAAGACAGCTCACAGCTCACTTCCACCTCAGTTTCTGTAGGCCCAGAGAGCAAAGGGTGTGGTGTCTTCCTCAATAGAGATGGATTTCTTATTTTTCATGTCATATTTAGAAAATTAATTCGTTTCATGATCTTACTGGCTACAAAGCAAGGATCAATGAAAAGACACTCATTTCAAAACATCTTGTCTCTGGGTTTATACACAGATGCAGCTTTGGCCTCAGATGAAGGTGAAACATCCTCAGGTGATTTTTTGTTTTGACTGTCACATTTCTTTAATACAATCAGAGAGTTTCTCCTTTCTATTTGGCAGCAACTGACCCTGGCTATGTTTCTTCTACTATTCACTTATATATGTATGTCTTCAAGTTGGGAAAAAGCACTTTTTCAACTGGCTAAGTCTCCTGTGGTGCTATTTAATTTATGAGATATTATTCTTATTTGTCATGTTGTATTTAGAAAATGAGCCTACTTAGGGAACGCAATGATCAATGAAAGACACTCATTTCTCCCAAGTGTATGTGTGTATGTGTGTGTTCACGTGCATGTCTATGCAAAGATGCTACTGTATATGGAGACTGGAGAAGAACCTTGTGTGTCGTTCTCAGGAGTATCATCCATTTTCTTTAAGAACAGTCTCTCATTAGCCTGGAGCTCACTAATTAGACTAGAGTGACTGTCCTGTAAGCCAGGTGGCTCCTCATGTCTCCATGAGGTTGCAAGCACACACCAGCACTCCCAGTATTTTTGCTTAATTCCTGGGAATTAAGCTCAGGTTCGCCAGTGGGGATATTCTTCGAGCCCAAGACCCTAACTTTAAAGCACTCCATTTCTCTTTTCTGGGTTTATACACAGATGTATCTTCGTCCACGGAAGTAACCTCCTCTGGTAATGTTCTCTACATTGATTTAAATGCATTGAGAGTGTCTCTTCTTCCTAATTGGTAAACTAGCTGATTGTGCCTCTTCTTATCTTCTTTGTCTGCAGACATTTCTTCAACCTCAGCAGAAACAAGTTCTTCAAATGGTAAAGGCCCACATTGTGCCGCGTAATCAATGAGATGAGTTTCTTATTTGCCACGCTGTATTCAGACAGTGAGCCTACTTAATGGTCTCTCTGACCACAAAGCAAAGATGGTGAAACACCCCAAGTGTTGTCACGCCTATGTTAGAGCATCCTGTTCTCTGTCTTTACCCCCAGATGCCTCTTCAGCCTCAGCAGAAGAGACCTCCTCTGGTAATGTTTTTTTGACTGTCAAATTTCTTATTAAATGGTCAAGAGCTCTTTTTTTTTTCTGTTTGGGATGTGATCATGTAGACATTTCTTCTTCTCTTTGTTCGTAGACATGTCTTCAACCTCAGCAGAAGGGAAGAGTGAAGAGCCAACTGGTAAAGTCCTTCGCTGTGTTGTAATTTAACTAATGAAATATGGTGGTTGCCATTGAGGATTTTTATTATCACATATTAATTATACATAAAAAGTTCAATTATGGCAATTTCATACTTGTATCTACTGTAGTATCCCTCATCATTCTCTCCTGTTCCCTCACACCCTCTAATTTTGTTTCTCTTCCCGTGTGGCCATCTTCTAGTTTCATGTCTTTACTTCATGAACTACTGAATTTTTATTAGTTAGGTTAATAGAAGATCTCCAGTAGGGAGTTGTTTGCCAGACTGTTGACAACTTACGAGGGCAACAGCACCTAAGAAACTGTCTCGTTCTCCCAGCAATCATTCACTGACTGTAGATCCACAGGGAGGGCTGCGCTCTCATGAGCTCCTCCCTTCTCTGTGACGAAGGGGTAATGAACCTGATCTTATGCTTGTTTTGTGTAGATAATAACAGATAATGAGAGTTCAAGAGCCCAACAACCATATCACAATACCTCACCGTTTACTCACCTTTATATTCCCTTCTTGATACCCTCTCATGATATTTCTTGACACTTGGAAGGGGTGATCCAGATGTCCCATTCAATGGTGACTTATCATTAGAACTTTGCCCAGTTCTGAGTCTCTTCGGTAACCATCCACCACTGCAAAGAGAGTGTTCTCTGATCAAAGCTGGCAGCTATACTAATCTATGGGCACAAATGTAAACATTTCAAAGAAAAATTGACACGCACGCCATGTTCCCTTAGCAATGCAACATACGGAGCCTCCACACTAAGATGATTCACACCCCCAGGTCAGGTTTACCGTACCAGACATGAACTCCCTCCTATGAGGATACCCTTGTGTACGACTAGAAAGGAGCTGGTTATCCTATATCAGTTATGCCGCTCTTGTGTCAATGGACATATCTTGCCTGGAAGGTCAGCACTATAGCCTGCAGCGTTCACAGCTGAGAAGGGATGCTGATGACAGCTCTTTCTTAGGAATCTGCATACTACCTTCCAACACTATGAAAGCTGGCCAGTGGGAAGAAAGCTTTCAGCTCAGTTCCAGCTTTTTCTCTGCAAGTCCTCCAAGCAAAGTGTATGATATCTTCAGCAATAGAGATGGTTTTCTTATTTGGCATATTGAGTTTAGAAGCCACGCCTACTTAATAATCATATTGACCACAAAATAAATATCAGTGAAAAACACCCATTTTAAAGCATCTTGTTCTCTGGATTTATACACAGATGCATCTTCAGCTTCAGCAGACGATACTTCCTCTGGTAATGTTTGTTTGTTTGCTTGTTTGTTTTTGTTTTTGTTTTTTACTGTCAAATGTATTAAACTCAGTCATAGCTTTTACTCTTCCCGTTTGGTAGAGGAATCCAGGAGTATCTCCTCTTCTCTTTGTCTATTAACTATTTCTTCAAACTCAGCAAAAGCAAGATCTTCAACTGCTTAGTCCCATTGTGATGATTAACTAATTAAATTTTAAAATTAACTAATTAAGCTAATTAAAACTTCCTAGTTTTTTTCTTTTTTATTATTTACTTATTTTTATTTTATGTGCATTTGTGTTTTGCCTGCATGTATGTCCGTGGGTGTTAGTTTTGAGCTGCCCTGTGGGCACTGGGAACTGCACAGGGGTCCTCTGGAAGAATAGTCAGTTCTCTTAGCTGCTGAGCCACCTCTCCAGCCCCAGGAAGTTTTCTTATTTGTCATGTTGTATTTAGAAAATGAGCCTACTAATGTCACATTGACCTTAAAGCAATAATCATACGGTGTGTGTTTATGTGTGCGTGTGTGGATGTGCACACATGTGCATGCGCTCATGTGTTGCTCAGGTGCTCCTGTACCTATGTACAGACATATGTGGAGGCTGAAGGACAACGTTAGGTATCAACTTCAGGAGCATCATCCATCTCCCTTGAAGCAAAGTCTCTCACTGGCTCACTAATTACACTAGAGCGACTGGCTGGAGGCACAGGGCTCTTCTTGTCTCTGCTTCCCCAGGGCTGGGATCACAAGCACACAACTCCAGGCACTTTTAGATGGGTTCTGGGAAATGACCTCAGATTCATGGGTTTTCTAGGCAAGTACTTTACTACTGAGCCATGCTCTCAGCACAAGACACTAATTTTACAATTCCCTATTTTCTGGCTTTATACACAGATGCATCTTCAGTCTCTGTAGAAGCTACCGCCTCTGGTAACGTTTTCTGCCTGTCATGTTTTTAAGTTTAAAAATGTCAAGCTTTTCTCTTTCTGCTTGACAAACTGTCTAAATACATGTTTCTCATTTTTATAGAAACTTCTTCTTCCTCAGCAGAATCAAGCTCTCCAAATGGTAATGTCCCCAATATTCTGTTGAGCTCAATAAAATTAATTTATCATATTCACCACAAAATAAAGCCCAACACCAAGAAGCTCATCTTTCACATGCCTGTGGATATTGTGTTTGTATGGAAAGTATGTGCACCTTTCTTCATGTGTGTGTGAGGCTGGAAGACAATCCAGATGTCATCCTTAGGAACGTTTGTCCGCTTCCTTTGAGGCAGGGTCTCTCACTGACCTAGAGCTCACTAATCAGGCTAGAGCAACTGAACACAGAGCTGTAGGGATCCTCCTTTCTCTGTCTCCCCAGTGCTGGAAATACAGTGTGCCCAATCACTCTGAGTATTTCATATGGGTTCTTCAAGTTGATCTCAGGTTCACGTATTTGTAAGGAAGTGTGCTACCAACTAAGCCGTCCTCCCAGCCCAATACACTAACTTGAAGGCATCCTAAATTCTGGGTTTATGCACAGCTGCATCTTCCTCAGAAGAAGATCCCTCTTCTGTAATTTTTCTGCCTGTCACATTTCTTAAATAAAGTGAAAGTTTTACTCTTCATATTTGGCAAATGACCTACCCATGTGTCTTCTTTCTTTGTCTGTAGGCATTTCTTCAACCTCAGCAGAATCAAGCTCTCCAAATGGTAAAGTACTCCATTTTGCTTCTTAACTAATGAAGAAACTTCTTTTTTGTTATGGTATATTTAGACAGTAAATTTATTTAATGACAGTAAATTTATTTATAAACTTAGATTTATGCAGTGACTATAAAGTGAATGAAAACTACCTTCGATATCATTCTACTCATTTCAGATCATCCTGTTCTCTGGGTTTACACACAGATACCCCTATAAGCACAGCAGAAAACACCCCCTCAGTGATCTTTTCAACCCATCATATTTTTCTCTTCATATTTTCCCCTTTCTCTATTTTTAAAAACATTTTATTGATTCTTCGTGAATTTCACGCCATGCACCTCAATCATCTCCCCATCCTTTCACATCAGTCTCTGCCCTTGCAACAATCTCCCCCCCCCAAAATTAAAATAAACAAGACAAAACAAACAAACACAATCTCATAGAGGAAGCTGTAGCGCATCCCTGTGTGCCACAGTATACCCTTTTGCCTATACATGTTTATTGCAAATGCTCACTGCAATGAGTCATTGGTCCTGGTTCAAGGCCCCTGGCTTCGGCTTCACCAATACTGGATCCTCACCAGGACTCCTCTCAGATATCCTGTTGTTGCTCTGTGTCTGAGATCCTGCAGCTTTGGATTTGCAGGACTGGCCCCTTATTCACTCCAGCAGTTCAGAGATGGGGTACATGTTGGGGTGGGTCACCTCAAAGCCCTGAATCCGGGCCTGGGTGGTAGCTGAGCTGGTCAACACTCCAGCTCTCCATACCACACTTAAGGCGCTCACTTAAGACATCACATTTCTTAAGTGAAACATAAACACAGTTTTTCCACTTTCTGTCTGGAAAGTGATCACACATGCATTTCTTCTTCTCTTTGCTCATAGATATGTCTTCAACCTCAGCAGAAGGGAACAGTGGAGAGCCAACTGGTAACATCCTTCACTATGTTGTTTAAACAATGAACTCCATTTTTTTACATCTTAATTGTGTGCATTGTGAGTACGCATGTATATATGTACATATATGTGTACATATGTGTGTATATACATATACATACGTGTGTGTGTATATGGGTGCCCATGGTTACCAGAGACTTTGGATCCAACTGGAGCTGGAGTTACAGCCAGCTGTGAGCCATCAATGTGAGTGTTAGGAAGTGAACTTCAGTCCTCTGGAAGAACAGTAAGCAGTCTTACCCGGAGAGCAACCTCTCCAGCCCTTGTTTTTCTAAAATAACATTTAATTACACATAATAGTGAATTTCATTATGAAGTGTTCATAGTGCATATAATATATCTGATGATATTTACTCCAGCCCCCACACTTCTCCATCACTGTCCCACTTCCCAGCCTTTCATTTTAGGGACCAATGAGTTGATTTGGCTTGCTGAAGAAGCAGAGTTTAGAGGTTATTTCTGAAAGCGTTGGCCGTGCCACGAAATCAAAGACTCTCCAACTTCCATTGCAATCAGTTGTTGCACAGACCTTTAAGGAGTGTCAGGCTTCAGTTGTACCACTCCACACCCAGAAAACACCACTCCACAGCACTCCGTCACTCCCTCCGGCTTTTACACAGGCTTTACTTTTAAAGTTTTTATGTTTTCATAATAAAGTACGAGTCATTAGAGCTAACCATAACCCTAAATGAAATTCATGAGAAGCCTGCCTACTATTACATGGTGTTTCCTGATCTTGGAGAGGAAGCAGAAATACTCCTTAATTTAAGGCTGAGCACTCAAGTCATTTGATATCATCATTTTGATCAGTTATGAGCCTCTACAGTAACTACCACCCATTAAAAAAGAAGCTTCTGTGACCAAAGCTAAAACCAGCACTAATGAAAACACAATTACTTAGATGTCCATTTGACAGCCATGTCACATCTATTTAGCAAAACAACTGCTTTGCTCCCAGAGCCTATCACCTCTGGTACCATAAACTTTTGACCAGGCTTCAGTACAGAAACTCCTACAGAGTAGTCTCACGGTCAGTGAGAGTTGGTTACACCTACAACAGTAACGCCACTCATACACCAGTGAACATAGTTGCCTGAAGTCAGTATTGTGCTCTGTAGGGTTTATAGATGAGAAATGCTGACGATGACACGTCCTCCTCCACAGCTTGCGTTGAACCTTCTAGCACCAAGAGAGCTCGCCAGTAGGGAGACAGCTTCCAGCCCAGTCCCAGCTCCATTTCTCCATGTCCTGCCAGTGGAGTGTGTGCTATCTTCAGCAATGGAGATGCTTTTCCTGTTTGCCATGTTGTATTTAGAAAATCAACCCACTTGAATCATATTTACCACAATACAAAGATCAACAAAAGACAGTCGTCTTTTAAATCATCCTGTTCTCTATGTTTACACACAGATTCCTCTTCAGCCTCAGCAGGAGAGACCTCTTCAGGTAATTCTTTTTTTTTTTTAACTTTCACATCTATTAATTTAAACACAGTCAGAGTTTTCCCCTTTCCACTAAAAAAAACTTTCCCTATAAATCTATAGATATTTCTTCAACTTGAACATAAACAAGCTCTTACCTGGTAGACCTCCTCACTGTGATGCTTACAGATTCAGATAGTGGGTCATATTGTACTTAAAAAATATCCTAGTTAGTTATTACATTGTCAAAAGATTAGAAAATTAAAAATTACCCACTGTGTGTGTGTGTGTGTGTGTGTGTGTGTGTGATAGTGCATGAGGCTGGAGAACAATGTTGGATATCAACGTCACAGACATCATCCATCTCCTTTGAGACAGGGTCTTCCGTTGGTCTGAGGCTCACAAATTAGGCTAGAACAACTGGCCATAGACACAGGCTTCCTCAAGTGTCTGCTTCCCCAGTCCTGGGATCACAAGCACACACAACTCCAGGCATTTTGACATGGGTTCTGGGAACTGATTTCAGATTCACAGGTTTTCAAGGCAAGTTCGTTACCTACTGAGCCATGCTTTCGACACACTGTGCTAATTTTACAGATCCTTATTTTCTGTCTTTATACACAGATGAGTCTTCAGTCTCTGTAGAAGATACCTCCTCTGGTAATGTTTTCTGCCTGTCATGTTTTTAAGTTTAATGTCAGGCTTTTCTCTTCCTGTTTTGCAAACTATCTAAACATATATTCTCTTTGTCTATAGCTATTTCTTCATCCTCAGCAGACGCAAGCTCTTCAGATGGTAAAGCCTATATTGTGCTGTTTATCTAATGAAACAAATTCATTATTCGTTGTGTTGTATTTAGACAGTAAACTTTAATATTCACGTTAATCACAAAGTAAGTGGATAAAAACTACCCTCGATATTATTCTACTCATTTCAGAGCATCCTGTTCTCTGAGTTTACACAGAGGCATCTTTAATCACGGCAGAGAGCATCCCATCGGGTGATCTCTTCAACCCATCATATTTCTTAATTGAAACACAATCACAGTTTTTCCTCTTTCTGTTTGGAAAGTGACCGCACTTACATTTCTTCTTCTGTTTGCTCTTAGATGTGTCTTCAGCCTCTGGAAAAGGAAAGAGTGGAGAGCCAGGTGGTAAAGTCCTTCACTGTATTGTTTTAACTCATGATAAGTGTTTTTGGTTTTATTTTTTCTTAGCATATGTTAATTATGCATGATAATGAGTTTTGTTATGATAATTTCACACTGTGTACAGTGTGTTTTGATTATATTCACCTCTATCACCCTCCCCTGGGACCTGTTTCTCTGCCCAGCTAGACCGTCTTCAACTTTCATGTCTTTATTTTATGAACCAACCAGTTTCAGTAAGATTACTTAGCAAAGCATAGGTGAGGAGTTATTTGACAGAGCACAGACAACTTATTGGCTACAACACTGAAGAAAGCCGCCCCTTCACTCTCCCTCAATGACCATCAGCTGCCTATAAACCTTTAGGGAGGGGTCAGGCTTCCCAAGCTCCTCTTTCCATGTGAGATGATGATGAGCCTAATCCTGTTTGAGTCCTGGGCAAATAATCTTAGCTGCCGAGAGTCAAGAGTGCAGCATCTGTGCCATGCCCAGAAGACAATGTTCTAGAACACCCTGGACTTCCTCCCACTGTTACATTCTTTCAGCTCCCACTTCCATGCCTGGGAAAGGGCATATTGATGCCTGACTTGGGGCTAAGAGCAAAAGTCACCTATTATCAGCACTTTGACCAGTAGTGAGTCTCTGCATTAACCTCAAACCCTTGCAAAAGCAAGCTCGTCTGGTCAGACCTGGCAGCAACGCTCACCTATGGGCATAACTGTAAGTATTTAGAAGTCCATTTGACAGGCACAGTGTATCCACATAGAAGACAACTGCAGCACCTTCTCCACGAGGGCTCTTCACCTCCCAGACCAGCTTAACAATACTAGATATCAACTCCCTTCTTTAGAGAGGACTTCAGATCTGGTCAGAGTGAGTGGATACCCCACGTAACAGTCATGCTTACCTGTGAGCACATCATATCTGGCATGTTCATGGGGTAGCATTAAAGGGTCACAGCTGAGTGGGACTATTTATGACCATTGTCCCCCAGCAACCTGGAGAGAACCTTTCAGCACTGTGAAAACAGCAGAGAGAAAGCTTCCAGTGCAGTCCCAGCTTGATTTCTTCATGTCTTCCACACAAGAATGTGTGCCTCCATATTTATACAATATGACAATTGTTTATGTTTGTACAATATGTTTGTACAATATGACATATTGTATATTTCTGCAATATGACAAACAAGAAAAGCAATCTACTTAAGGCTTGTATTGACCACAAACCAAAGATCCTTGACAAGACAGTCTTTTTTAAAGCATCTGCTTTCTGTGTTTTTACACAGACGGGTCAACCTCTGCGGAAGAAGAAACATCCTCAGGTAACATTTTCTCTCACATTTCTTAGGTAAAACACAATTTCAGCCTTTCCTCTATTTGGCACACACACAGAGTCGTGCCTCTCCTTTTGGTCTCTAGATACATCTTCAGCCTCGGCAGAATCAAGCTCTACAACCGGTAAGTCCCCCCTGTTGTGCTGCTTAAAATACTGAGCTGAGTTTCTCATTTGTGGGGTGGTTAGACTTAGAAAATGAGCCTAGTTACCGATCACGTTGGCATCAAATACAGGTCAGTGGAAGAAGGGTCATTTTAAAGCAACCCTTCCCTGGCTTCCTGCACAGATACCTCTTCAACCTCAGCAGAAGAGACGAGCTCCCCTGGTCATGTTCTCTGTCGTCACATCCCTTTCTTTTCTAAAACCATGGTTCATTTTAGTTTCTTTTGAAAAATTGGCAAACAGAGTGGTTAGTTTTAGTGCATAATTGTTATTCACACTTGGTGTTGTATGGCCTCCCCCAACACACACTGTATAGTTGCAACATTCCATTTCCAGGAAGGTCCCTTCCGTTCTTTCACATGTGTTCTATTGCCCCTCTCCCTTCTTAAAAACCTTTCTCCTCCCACAGCCTCTCTTCTGCTTATTGACCCATACCTACGCACACACACACACACACACACACACACACACACACACACACACACACATATATAACTAGGATATGAGAAAGAATGTAGTATTTGTTTCTCTGAGTTTGTTACTTTACATAATATAATAATTTCCAGTTCCATCAATTTTCTTGCAGAGTTCATCATTTCACTTTTCTTTACTATTCCATAAAACTCCGTTGTGCACATGTACCACATTCTTGTTCTCCACCCGTCTGGTGATGAACATCTAGCTGCTATGAATGTGGTAGCAACAAACGTGGATGTGTACAAAATGCTGAAACTGCTAGAAGACAACATAGGAAAAACCAGATTTTCTACTGTGTCTGAACTCAAGCTTTTTTCTTTTAGTATCATGAGGAGATTTGAAGATGATGTAGAGACTACACTAAATAAAATGAGGAACTCAACACTCACAAATTCTTCTATCGACCTCTCGAGTTTCCCAGCATTTAATTTTCCACTATCTAAGACAAGTCCTCTAACCCTCTTCTTCATGACTATGGTTCTTTTCTTCTTGTCTTCAAATTTCACTTCCATGGTGGGAGTGAAGATGGAAGAGGTGTCCTCAACTGTGTTGTAAGGGCTGTGAGAGGAGCTGGCTGGCAGCACAGTCTGGAGCAGCAGAGGGCATACAGTTACCCCTGTGCTGATGAGTTTGGTCCATGGGGCTCTTTCTTATACCCCATGAATCATTGGGCTTGATCTTTTGTAAGTTACAGCTATATTTGTGGTTTTTTGGTTTTTTTGTTTTTTTTTTTTTATGTATTTCAGACTGTATTGTTGTTTCAGTTGGTCGTAGATCCCTGAAATTCATTCTTCTGCTTGGTCTTCTGCTTGTCTATTGGTCATGCTTTTGCTGTGCTTATACTTGACTGGCTCTTTAATTTCCAAATTTCCTACTGGCTTTTCCAGTGCCAGTACTGTAGACAGTTCACAGCCAATAGTGACCAGTGTTCCAGCTAGGTGCCATCATCAGGCTGACCAGCTCCTTTTCCCGCTTCCGACTACACACCATTCACATGTAACCTAGCCTCCCATAGTGCAATTTGTCAGAGATGTTCTCTACAAAATACAGCCAACAATGGATAGTGGGTCAAAGACTTGTATGGAGCACTGTAGTAGCACATTAAGTCCTTCTCCTCTTAACTACGTTCACACATACACAACACAGCTTCTAATTTCCCACCTTACCCAGAACACAAGGAGAGCCTTTCCCTTTCTATTTGGCAAATGACCTGGCTGTGTCTCTTCTTTTGTCTATAGATACTTCCTCAACCTCAGCAGAAGCAAGCTCTCCAAATGGTAAGTCCCTATTGTTTCTTATTTATTTCAAAAGTGAAGCTGCTTGATGATCATATTGACCACAAAGTAGAGACAGTGAAAGTGCTCTCCGTGTCATTCGGTAGAATTTAAAGCGTCCTGTTCTTTGGTTTACACACAGATACGCCTTCAGTTGCAGCAGAGAAGAGGCCTGGTAATTTTTTCAGCCTGTTGCATTTTTTTAAGTTAAACAGTCGGGGCTTTTCTCCTTATTTTTGTGAAATCAAACTAGCTATGTCTCTTCTGCTCTTTGTCTGTAGCTATTTCTTCCCCCTCAGCAGAACTGACCTCTCCAAGTGGTGAGTCCCCATTATTGTCTTTAAAGTTACATAATGAGGTTTTTGTTGTTGTTATGGTTGGTCATGTTGTATTTATAAAATGAGCCTGTTTAATGATCACATTGGCATCAAATAAAAACCATTGCAAAGGCATTCATTTAAAGTGCCCCCTTCTCATTTTACACACAAACACAGCTGAAAAGATCTCCTGTAATCTTTGCAGCTTGTTGCATTTCTTAACTGAAACTCAACTATAGCGTTTGTGCTTTCTGTTGGGAAATAAACCTAGGTATCCAGGTTTAATCTATGTCTATGTATGACATAGACAAAGCGTGCACAGAAACCCCAATTCCTTTCCACAGAGATGGTATTTGAGTTTCCTTTACTCAGCGATAGACACCGGTGTGGTCCTTCCACTGCACATGCCATCTGCCCATGCTCTAATCTTGATCAGATGAACCTGACGGAGGCTAGGGCAGAGGGTCCACACCTCATTTGGTTGGTTGCGTTGTTTCAGGTCATGATTCTACACACACACACACACCAAATAGGTCGTGACAGTCATTCTATTCATTTGTTCTTTTGTTTTACACCATGCTGTTGGTTAAACCAAAACATTGTTCCCCCTTTTCCAGTTCAGACAAGGCTTCTTCTTCCATAAGCTTGTTCCTTGCTCATTGCAGCTCTTGGGGGAACCACTTTCTGAGCACCCTTAGTCCAACAAAAATTAGCAGGCCAGGAGAAGTGAGAAGAGAGGAAATAGGTGTTTAGAGAGGCCAGTGAGCTCTCCTAGAGCACAGCAGGCCTCCACTGGTCATGACCCTGAACACTGTGGTAGCAGATAGATGCTGGGACAGGGGAAACAGGCTGACAGAACCTCAAGTGCAGAGGCAGGAGGAGAATGTAGAAATAATCTCTTATTTTTTTGGGGAAAAATGAGTTACAGAGAAGAAATGCATTTGCTTAAGCTCACAAAGCTAGGGCAAGACAAAACCAGGTGCCACAACTCTCATGCAAGGACCTCCCAACGCCCAGGGTTTGCCGGAGAATCCTTCCATCCCTGTGACATTTCTGTCTTCAGCAACAAGCCTTGCTGCTCTGTTATGTATTAAATTTTAAGCTCTAGGTTACTTTGAAAATATCCAAGGTTAAAACTCAATAAAACTATTCAATACATTGTTTTCAGAGCGGTTAAAATGGCTTCTTCCTTCCCCACTCCTCCTCTTTCTTCTGCCTCCATCCTTTATGTCTTTATTTACTTATTTCCCTTCTCCTATCATGACTCCATTTTTGCCAGAAGATTCCCTCACTTGTCATTCTCACTGGCTCTTGACATCACATGAGACAAGCTTCTGTATGCAGAGCGGTTTCTTGCAAACTTCCCATCTTACACAGTTAGGTCCCACACAGGCCGCCTACTGCTTCTTCTGTGAAAGCACAGCAGCGGAAATCACTTCCCATTTCAGCAGTAAGTGCTTCTTGGAAAGCAAGGATGCTATAGTGGCCATTAACCCTTACCTTCCTTCTTTTCCTATTCCGAACCCTGAACCCAAGAGGAATGCAGCTCCCACAGCCTGTGCTCTGGAAATACAGAATAGTTAGAAGAAACATGGGCCCCAGGGCTTGCAGGCTTGAGCTGAATGACCTGGTCCTGTTTTACAGTTCCTCCGAGTCTCCTTTTTTTTTTTTTTCAGTCCTAAAGCAATGATAAAAACTTCCCTAGATTAGTCTTCATAAGAATTGGGGGGTGCAGGTGTGGACCATGAGAATGTTTTTAAACCGTGTTCGACAACACGAAAAACAGGTGGTATACGCATACTGCTACGGAACAGGCTTCTTACAGTAGACCTGCAGTCTAATGTAGAATTTCAGTGAAGCCACATTTTAATCCCTTCTTTTCACCGCTTTTTTTTTTTCCAGCCACGGTTCCAACATCGACAAAAGTGACCCCGTCATCTGGTAAGGATCACTGTGCTTGTCGCTGGAGTAAAGTGCCTTCCTCTTATTTATGCCACCACATTTCGTCTCATTATCTGATGCTACTTTTTCTACCTGGCCTCCCTCTGTATGGTTTAATGTAATAGCCAGTCGTTCTCACCTGAAACTGCACCAGAGGAAGATGGTCAACTTCCTGCCCTTTCTTCTCAGCCCTTTCAGAAATGTTGCCTAATGCCAGGTATGGCGGCACTCAGGAGGCATATGAGTTTCTGTGGGTTTGAATCAGCCTAGTCTCTATAAGTTCCAGGAGCCAGCCGGGGCTAAGTAGTGAGACCATGTTAAAAAAAAAAAAAAAAAAGCTTATAAAATTAATTAAAGCTTTCCTTTTGAGCATCTAACAAATTGTTTTTCTCCTGGAGAACAAACAAAACATAACAATATTTGTCACTTTTTGATGCCAAGAAAGTAAAATGTAAGGGATAGCACTCCTGCACTCAAAACAATGGACTGGGCTCTGAAATAACCAAAAGCATTTCCTCCTCAGCTTGAAGCTGAACTGAAATGTGAGCCTGTGGTGTGTACGTTTGTAAAGCTCTAACATTTTAGATCGATGATGCAACTTCCTTTTCCCTGGCAGTTCTTGAGTCTTTCTAGTCACTAAAATGATAAGGTGTCTATTGAGCCTGTTAGGATCACATTTCTCTTTCACTGAGACTCCCTCCCCCTTTACAGGAACAGTTCCGAGCCACGGGTAATATTACATGCAGACGTATGCACAGTGCGAGTCAGACACACGTAATTCGTCTCTAAGACCTCACTCAGAAGATACCCCCGTGTGTCCACGGGTCGCCCTTTTCTCTTCCGGGTGCTCAATGCAGGCCAGGCCCCTCCCTCTCTCCACTAAGCTGCCTCTTCAGCTCATTCTCACAGTTACACAAGTATCTTGCTTTGGGTATTGTAACACCAGCCAGGCCAAGAGAGGGCACCTCCCGGAGACCAATCACACTGCTGTCAGAACTAACGCTGGTGGGTTTAATACCCAGGAAGGCTTTTCTTTGGGCAAAACAGTGCCTCGGTGACTGACTAATTACTGCAGAGGCAAACCACCTGACCCTTATCTGTGGGTGTGGCACCTCCAGTGTGATACAGTCCAGCCCCACACAAGGATGTTTCCACCAACAGCAGACCACACACATCCATGTACGGCAGCGGCTCCACAACACGCTCTTTGTGTGTAACCACAAAGCTGCCCAACAGCACAGTCCTCAGAACGTGTCCTCGTGGGTAAGTGGCACGGTTGCACAGGATGTGCCGTTCACGGCTTTATTCAAATCAAACATTTTTGAAGTATTCCTTTGCTGTGGTGCACACGCTACGACCCACCCACCGCCCTGTGGCAGAGCCCCTAGGTTGTTTCCAGTGTAGCGTTCTGGTGGAGAACTCTGTGGTGCTCAGACCCGTGTATAAGGGTAGAGTAGCTAAATTATATTATACAGTTTTCGTTCTTAAATGGTTGCCCCGTAAGTATAGCAGTGATTTCATGGGGGGTTGGGGAGATGGGGCTTTGATGAATCGGGGCAACGCCTCCACTTAAAGCAATTGTTTTCCAAAGATTTGAGCACAGGGTGGGGAGATGGGGGGGGGGTTGTTGGTTCGATTTTTGCCTGGTTTTGCTTTAGGTTTTGTGTTTTTGTTTAAAGAGGTTACATGTTTGGGTAACTAGGTTCGCTCTTATGGACATTCTTTGAGGGCTAAGGGTAATTTAGGGGCATAGAGAAGGCTCTTGGTACAAGTGTCACCCTGAGATAGTGTCTACTCTAGAAATCTGACCTGAGCGGACTTCTCCTGCTTCGTAGACCTGCCTCTGCGCCTGGTCGGCGGGCGGAGCCGCTGTGAGGGCCGCCTGGAGGTGCGGCACCAGGGCGTGTGGGGAACCGTTTGCGATGACCGCTGGAACATCAAGAGCGCCCGAGTGGTGTGCCGCCTCCTGGGCTGCGGTCCCGCGCTAGGCGCCCCTGGCAGAAGCCACTTCGGGCCCGGCACAGGCCCCATCCTGATGAATGAAGTGCGCTGCTCGGGCAGGGAGGACTCCCTGGAGAGCTGTGCCCACGCCGGCTGGACAAGACACAACTGCCACCACCGCGAGGATGCCAGTGTGGTCTGTGCAGGTAGGGGCTCCTATGCGGGCAGGCATGGCTTCCTGGGAAGGTGTGGGCCTAGGTCTGGGAAAGTGCTCTGCCTCAGCACCACCCATCCTTAGGGCATTCGCCACTTGGCCAAGATATCCCGTTTTAGAACAAAGAGCTAGCGGTGGTGATGTTTTGATCACTGGTCTGATTTTGTTAATGAGCTTGCTCTAGTGCCAGCTCAGTGGAGCATCTCAGTCAGAAATATAGCTGAAGAACTGTGAGGCTCAAAGAAGGGAGGGACAGTGTCACGGAACCGTTAAAAGTTTAGCAATTGGTGCAGCCGGACACAGCTTATCCTGTTACTTTCTCAGTGTCTGGGGTCACGATGGGCCCCATCCTGGAGAGTCACTGTATCAGGACATAACTAACCCTCAGAGTCCAAAACACTCTTCATAGTGCCCTAGCTTCCCTGTGTCCTTAGCATCAAAGATTTTCCCCAGTATCTTTTCTGGAATATATTTTATTGTCAGCTGTGTCGTTCTTGGCAGTCTGAGTACCACCTGTATGGCACAGTACCTCCTTTTAATCTGTCTAGGTTATCCCTAAATTGGCCCATGCAAATTTCAGAGAGTTGGAGGATTCTAAGACTTGAAGAAGCCTGAGTTCACCTCATCTACTGTCGCTACTTTTATTACAGTTGAACAGACCACGGCCTTTATCCTGTATAAGGCCTGTTTTGCATGGACGTGGGCTCCCAATAGAAACACTGTCAGAGTCCCCTGAAGCCAAGAACTCCCCAAGAAGCGGAAGTTGTGTCAGTCAGTCTGGAGCCTGTACCTCCCAGACTTGGCTGTTAGGATGTCTTTTCACAGCTCAGCCATCCACCTTAGAATCCCACTTTGAATAAGGATCCACATTCTGTTCTTCTATACACGGGGGGGGGGGGGGGGGGGCTCATGCCAACCATGGCCAAAGACTGCACTTCCTGGATGTGGAGCCTTGGCCCTAGAGCACTGTCCTGTCTTGATTCTGAGCCAGAGAAGTCCTTAATGGCCCCAGAATGCATTTTCCCCCTCAGCCTGGAGCCCCAAGCATGCCTGTGTGTAGAAAGAAACCAAGAGCCCATCCAAGCAGTGGTGTTCGCATTTTCCATCCTTTTGCTCCACAAATCTTGATGTTGATAACATCAATGTTCTCCGTGCTACCTGACATATGTCAGAATCCATCTTGTGTTAGGAGACACTGGGTCCCCTTTTACTTTGCATGTTCTGGAATATTCTCATGCCATCACCCTCCAGCTGCGATGCTTTGTCTAATGACAGCTTACCGTCCTCCTCCTGTGTGTCAGTCCAGTGACGTTCACTTTTCATCTCCCCTCAACAGGTCCATCAGACTCTCTTGTGCCCAAGGATAATGGTAAAGTCATCTTCCCTCCTGGGGTCTGAAGCTGGTTGTGAAAGGAGCTAAGAGAGTAGCTGAATGGGGAGAAGAAGGAGGTCAGCTAGCCTAAACTACTGGGTGGTTAGGAAAAAGTCCTCTGTACCAGGGTCCTCCTCATTTTGCTCTACTCTTCTTCCAGCATACCTCAGTCCAAAAGTCCAGACAGACACATGTCAGACAGAGCATGTCATAAGTTGTCCTTTAAAGCCCTACGCAAGGCTCTGACCCACATGGACTGCAAGTGGACTTCCCTGCCGATATGGTTCTACTTCAAAGCCTTTTTTTGAGGATAGTAGGAAAGCCAATGAGAGTCAGGGCTGTGGGGATGGCTCTGTTGGTAAAGTACTTGCCTTGAAAGCATGAGGATTTGTTTGCTCCTGAGCACCTACGTCAAAGACAGCCACCTTGGACCCATTTGCAATGGCAGCACTGGGAATTCAGAGACCAGAGGAGGATCCTGACTCTAACCAAACCAACATACACACACACACACACACACACACACACACACACACACCCCTACACAAGTCAAGTCAAGGAGATACAGTAAAGGATGCAGGTCCAGCCCAGCCCAGAGCACTGTCTGTGGTACTTTTGTAACATACAACCAGTCCCTGAGCTATTTGTCAATGTACCAGTTTCTCTCTATCTCCCCTTCAGCTTATCTGTCCTGCTTGCCTCACCTCTTCCAAGCCGTCATTGACCGAGGCTATCTCCGGAGACTAGGCTACTCCTCCTGGGACATCCACTTAAATGATAAGATGTGTCGCCCCCAAGTCACTGGGCGTTACCTCATCTTCAGTATTCCTTATGGCCACTGTGGTACCATCAGGCAGGTAAGAGGCTGACAGGGAAGTGGGGACCTTCTGTGGATGGAGTACAAGAAGAGGGAGTTAGAAAATTACACTTCCTGTTAAAATCTGTGTAAGAGAAGGGAACAGCGTCACTTCTGAAGCAGCTCCCTAATGTCTCTGAAATGTTCTACCATTTGAGGAATTTCAGACACACACACAACCAGAGACGATCTATCACAAATGTTGAGTGGAGTGACGTGTGTGATGGATGGCTGATGAATGGGTTGATAATATTCTCCCAGTTTCAAAGCCAGCATTTGGCAGAACATGCTTCTTGACTGAATGTCAGAACACGTCTACCATGAGCAAGCCATGGTGCTGGGGATGACAGTTGTCTGCCTGCCTGCTTTGTCTCCAAGTAGCTAGTCACATTCCACACTACAGAAAGCAAACATCTAGGACATTCAGGAGCGCGTCTATTTAATTCTCTGCAACCATCTTTTATCCCATAAAATGATGGCAATGAGATTAAGGGAAGGTGTGTATACATGAAGGAACAATTCCGCCACGACAGCCTTCTCAATATATTTGACAGTGACTTGATCCAGATCATGTTCCTGGTGCTGCTTTCCTGTTTCCCTCTTTGTACACGTGCAAAAGGCTCACCGGACGTCATTGACCAAGGCTATCACATTCGTTCAAACCAACCCTGTGATGCAACCAACATAAGGCCTCCAAGTGCTGCTCTTTCTATTTTCCCTGCTGTTTGGCTGTTTGCTGTATGGTCGTTTTTATCCTTTTTGCTCTGAAAATTCCACTTCTTAACTGAGAGATTTCTGCCTCTGAAGCCAGAAGGTCCCTCTGTCTAGGAGAAAGGCGGCCCCTGGCAGAGAGTGACACATGCTTCAAAAATGTTCCTGGCCAAGCTGTGCCTCTGGGTGTCCACCCAAAGCATTTAAAGAAGTGCAGGTGGTGGCTCCTGCCCATCGCTCTGTCCAGTCCACTTCTGACCTCTATATTCACCAGAGCTGATTGTGGAAAATATAAGCAAGAAGCAAGGCTAGAAGCCAAGCTGACAGGACCAGGCCTGCAGCCAAAGAGGTCAAAGGCAGAGAAGATACAAAATCCAAGTTGGGTATGGTCAGGGTGGTGGGGTGCCAGTTGTAATTTATTGTGTGGAGAAATTCAAAAGAGAGGGAGTTCCAGGCAGTCACAGCGGACCTGCTGCCCAGCTCACAGCTCTACAGATTGGCTGTTACAAGAGGGGAGGAGTAGTTCTCATGCAGGGGACTCCCTCGCCATACACACACCTTCCTAGTGTTACCACAGTGGTCCAGCCAGGGACTCCAGCTCTCAGGCATGTCATGAAGCTGGTACCCAGCACATGCTGAAAGGAGAGAGCTCTTCTGTCAAAAGAGGCACTAATCAGGGCACCAGGCACACTGTCCACCCATTAATCCCCTCATCTTTACAGGACCACCAAGGCTCTCTCAGCTACTCCAACTCCATCAGAGGCAGAACGCAAGGCCACCCTGGCCGAGTCATTGTGAGGCACAAGGTACCCCAGGTGAAGTTCACCTGCAAAGTGGATGGCCAGTCTGCCATTGAAATTGTGCACCAGAGTGACGCTAAGAAGGAGGACGTCGGCTATGATGTATCGATCTCATTCCTCCAGTCACCTGCATCTCAGAACACTGGGGGGAGAAATCCCCCTTATGCCAGTCAGAGGGAAGAGGTCTTCCTCCAGGCCACCCTCCACAGCCACAATCCCAATCTGAGGCTCGTTGTGGACACCTGTGTGGCTTCTCCTGATGCCAGTGATTTCACAACTGTCAAGTACGATTTGATCCAGGAAGGGTAAGGACAAATGGTAACTCTGCCTTGTTGATGTTAAATGCGCATGGTATTTCTCTTTAGTTTCAGGACCTGGAGTCATAAGTCAGGAGGGTGTAGGGTGTCTCTAGCAGACCTCTGATCACACTGGGGAATATAGGAGCCTAGACAACCTCCCTTGACTCCTCGAAAGCCCAGTACTTTGCTGTCCCACCCCACCTTTTCTAACCTAAGCCCTTTTTCCTTCCTAGTTTCCCTCCCCAGGACATTCATGATTTTGGTTCACACCAATGGGTCAATACATTTTCCCAAACTCAGCCCCTAGTTAAACTAGCCAGGTGCCTTCTGGCTCCTTTGGTTCATCAAGTGATTAGCCAAGTAAGAACCTTGTCACGTTATTTGCCTCTGGTTTATCAGGTGCTATTGCATTACTTTCTCTGGGGAACATACACAAATGTCTATCTGCCCCAGATACGACAAAGGACAAACCCAAAGAAAGAATTCTGCCAGAGTCCAGCTTGGTGAACCAGTAAGTTCTCTAGGCTCATTCGCAGAAGCATGAGGAAGGAGTTGAATAGGGGACCCCAAGTGCACCACCCCAACGTGGATGACATATCCCCATGAATGCTGTATAGATGGAGCCCCCGATTCAGTTAACCTTTTACATCTTATCAACTCCAGGTCTCCTGAGATCACTTGCAGCTGGGATTGGGCAGGAGGGAGTGGCTGGAATCAGCTGAGGTGCTAATCACCTTTCCACTCTTTCCCTGCAGAAAGGAATGCTAATAGGTGTGGTGTGAGGGTCTACCTGAGCATGAATGAGTCCATCTGCTCTGATTTCAAGTTGGCAGTGGTCATGCCTGGAAGGCAGGGGCTAAATGTTCATGAAGGGGTAATTGGCAACTAGTTAAGAAACTCATTATTTACTCAGTGGCAGTTTTAGTGTGGTAAGAGCCACAGCAGCCTTAAGCCCATGAGCGATAGTGAGGCACCTGTTTCCAAAGATCAACAGAGGAGCAAGGCAGCACCTGCTACAGTTTCCTCTGGCATGCTACACACAGACTGAGTTCCAGAAGGACAAGGTTCTTCCCTTCTGACTATCCTCATGATCATAAGAAGGCGAGAAGTTCAGTCAGGTGCCGGAATGTCCAAGCCAGCAAGCTGTTGTTCTTGCTTTAGACTTAATTTGCTTCCCTTTCTCTAACTTCTAAATCTTAGATTATTGATTGGACATCTTTACAATCAATACTACAAATCCCCCCAAGCATTGCCTTAGCAACATCCTACAAAGTTTGATTAAGTTGGGTATTGTATTGTGACAAACATCATGAGCAAGGCAACTGGTAAAAGAAAGTGTTTAATTAGGATTGTGGTTTTAGAGGGTTAGAGTCCATGATGGCAGGGTGAAGGGACAATGGCAGGAAAAGCTGAGAGCTTGCAGCTTGGTTCACAAGTAGGAAGCAGAGAGAGAATGCTGGGAATGCCACTAGTCTTTTGAAAACTCAAAGCCTGCCCCCAGTGACCTTCCTCCTCCAACAAGGCTTTCCAAACAGTTCTACCGACTGGGGACCAAGTATTTAAAAATAAGCCTGCAGGGGCCATTCTCACCCAAATCACCACAGATATTCATTTTCATTTCCTTCAAAACAGTCTTAAATTTCTCTTAGGACATTTTTGATACATCAGTTACCCAAAAGTATACTGTTTACTTTCAAGTATTTTGAGAATTTTCCAGAAAGTTTGCTGCCATTGATTTCAAGTTTAATCACATTGCTACCTGAGAATATATTTCTATCCTTTTAAGACTATCAGAGTATTCCTTATGTGATCTAATGAATGTTCTACCTGGACTTGAGGAGAATATGTTTTCTGCTGTTGTGGGATAGACTAATGTCGGCAGATCTAGTGGATTACTAGTGTTCCTTAGGTTGTTTGTACTCTTCTTGACTCTCTGCCCCTCAGTTGATAGACCTATCAGTTGACAGAGGAATGTTGAAGCATCGAATTATAATAGTGGGTTTGTCATATCAGTCACTACAGTTCTCTTTGCCTCCCACATTTTAATGCTCTGCTTGTAGGTTTGCACTAATGATTATTATATTTGGCTAATGATTATTCTTTACTTCAGTTATCTTGGTTAAGGGTCTCTTCTTCTAGGACCGACCCTTTCCTTTGGTGTTGGAAAACAACTCTCTTGTCCCTGCCAATTCTCCTCTCTCTGAGGTTTGTTCTGTATAAAATAACAACTACTGTACTGTTCTCCACTTCCTTTCAATTAATTTGTATCTTTATGGAGTTTCCATGATGGAAACTAGCAGTAGTTACTTCAGAAAAGAGAGGTAGTGGGAAGAACTCCATCTGGGATTCAGAAACTTAGACCCAAGGTTAATTATGTGGGTTGGAGAAAATTTATGTCATGTTTGGGTCTGGGTTTTTCTTCCCGTCAGATGCATCAAAGACAATTCCTACTCCAACCTCCGGACTCCTGAGAAGAACGTGGTCCAGTTCAAGTTCAACGCCTTCAGCTTCCTCAAAAGCTACGATGTGGTCTACCTGCAGTGTAAGGTGGCTGTTTGCCGGATCGGGGACCACTCTTCCCAATGCTCTCAAGGCTGTACTCGGCGGGAAAGGAGAGGCGCAGGCTCGCCAGAGGTCAGAGAAGAACAAACGGAGTATTTCCGAACAGTGGGACCACTGAAGATCCACAGAGCAGTTACTCAGAGCGAGGACCTGGTGTGATCTCTCCCGTTCTCACATGAGTGTGTCAGAAAACTGGAATCAGGTCTGTTTCTTACCAGGAAGCCAGACATTGGCCCCACTGTCTACACTCTCCATGCAGGCGGGTGGAAGAACCTGGGGTTGCTTTTCTGGGGTTGGTTAATCTCTATCACTAACTTCTAAGGCGGTTGCTCTTTTTGTAGGCTAAAATAATGCTGATTTTGTTATTATTCTTCACTCTTAAGAACTTGATCATTGTCTTAAAAATGTACAGAACATTAGAAAAAGCAGGATTGTTTCTCTTTATCTTGTGGCCAACTGAAGATTGTTTTTAAATGTCTACTACTTACTATTTGGATGGTGGTAGGTAGTTGGGCCTCTTTCTGTTCTTTTGGGAATGTGAAAATTCATTTCCAGACCTTGCCAGTAATCCTGTAAATAATAATAATAATAATAATAATAATAATAATAATAATAATAATAATAATAAATAAAATGTTTTCCGGGAAGTCACACTGCTCATTTTTTTAAGCTCTTTTAAGCAGAACAACTGAACAACACAAGTTTTTAAGTTTGATAGTGTTTTTAACAGTCTCATTTAATTGTTTTCTTTTGAAGAGCCTAGCTTCTGGGGGTCTGGCTTTCAGCTTGCAAGTGGGAGGCTTGAAACAGAATCACAAAGACCCGATGCTTCTCTATGAGTTGCACACATTCTCCAAACATCTGGGAAACTTGAAAGTTGCCCAGAAAAGCTGAAGGGCAAACAAGAACAGGTCGGCAACATCCTGTTCCTGAAGCAGGAGGACAGTTCTCACTTTAATCTCCTTATCTCCTGGAAGGAGAAGCAGTCTGTTCTGTACTCAGCGCCTTCAAAGCTGCCACTTTTCTTTGTTTTGCCTTTTGAGACAAGGTCTCCCTGCATAACCCAGGTTGGCTTTGAACAAGTGATCCCTCTCAGCACATTTTTCTTAAGAACATGAATTTGAACAGAGTCAGTGCTTTTGTTCCTCCCACTGTCCCGAAATATTCAGTAGAAGTATTTACGATGAGCCCATGTCTTTGTCCAAGAAATTGTTTTAGTCTGTGTTGATAAAGAGTATGTGAGAAGCAAGGTTGCAGTTGTCTAACCTTCTGAAGAAAGGAGGGCAATGTCTGGGGGAGCCTGATGGCTAACTCTAGGGTACTGAAGTGGAAATTTACAAACAACTCAAATCACCTTAGGGACCATTTTGGTTTGATTACAAAAATATCCTTTAGCAATTAGCACCTTGGTAAGACTGAGGGGCTTTGCTGCCACCTTCTACCAGGACAGGGTAATGTCAGGGAAGGCAAAATGGAGTTTGATGTGCTCTTAGGCAGCAGTGAGGGCTCACCTGCACCTGTCAGAAAGGGACCAGGTGGGGAGCCTGAACATCTACTCCCACTCCTATTTAGAAAGGAACCAGATCCTTTTGTACTGAGCATGCCCAGTAGAAAGCCAGAAGTGAGGTGACCACTTCAGGGGAGCAAAGAACACCAGGTTGGCAGGACCACCTCTGCCCCACTTATTGGCACATGCCTAATATTTCATCTCTATCCTTTTGTTTTTAGCGTTTCTGAAATACTTGGTTAAGTAAGTCTCCTGAATGAAGCATAGAAGTAGATTTTGCTTTGGAAGAGATCTAAAGGCCATGTTGTTTTAGGAAGTAAAGATAGTAGGTGCCCAGGAGTGACATCAAATGTCCAACAAATACATGGATTCACTCATGAGGCTTCTGGTAGTACTTCTGGCTAGGGGCTCATAGACCGCCATTCCCTAGGAAAGTCTGTGAAGACAGCTGTTTTGCCCAAGGTCACAGCTCCTTTGAGCAGCCCTTATCCAAAGGTGACTTTTACTGGTGGGTAGTGGAGAACAGATGCCCCTGGTTACTAAGAAACTCTTTTCTCTAGTCTTTACCATATCCTCAGAAGAGACCAACTCCCATCAACCCCTCTGTTAAGCTGTAGAGACACAGAGTTAAGGCAACCTCGATGGTATGAGCCAGCACCTAGTCTTCCAACTCCAGAGCTAGGGCCTTTGATCACATTTCTATAGGTATCGTGACTATACTCTCTATTGAGTCACAGTACCTGATCATTTTCTTAGAATGACATACTCATGCCTGGACTGTCTCTGAATATCTAGCATGATGGCCAGAACAGAACATATAATCAACTCCTGATGGCAAGATGGCTGAGAGGCAGTGACCAGGCCAGGCAGTTGTGTCATCTTAAGAACTTAGTGTGAGGCTGGAGAGGTGGCTCAGCAGCTTAGAACCCTTGCTGCTCTTGCAGAGGACCCAGCTTCAGCTCCCAGAACTCACATGGCATCTCTAGCTCCGGGAAACCTGATACCCTCTTCTCAGCCTCCTCAGGCACCAGCACACATGTGGTTACCCATACACAGAGGCAGGGAAAACACTCATACACATGAAACAAAAATAAGTCTTAAAACAACATGACTATGACTAGTGAAACTCTTTGTTGTTTTTTTTTACGTTACATTAAAAAGGAGTTTGCAGAAGAGAAATTTAGATGAATCTTTGAAAGCTCTGCGCTAAGATGCTAAGAAGTGAATGTGGAATATCTTCGTTAGCTTAGGGCTGGGAAATCAGCTTCTCGGGACTGGGGTACTCAGACTCATGAGAAACAGGAACGTTTTTATCTCATAGCTCAGAAACCAGCCTGAGGTCTCATTGTCCCATCAGGTTCTTCCCACTGAGCTTTGTGAGCTGCACAGGGGAGAGGTGCTCACTGCAGGTGAGCAGTGGCTTCAGGGGACTCAGGAGCCCACTCCTTCACTTCTGTTTCAAATGACAATGTTTTATCTTTCCAAGGGTAGTTTACACTTTAAATTTTATAGATGACATGTGTTTTATTTAGCATCTAAAAAGGAAGCTGAGCTGGATTGTGGTGGCTCACACCTTGAGTTCCGGCACTGGGAATGCAGAGGCAGGACCTCTGTGAATGCAGGGCTAGCCTGGTCTGCCTTGGAAGCTCTCGGCCAATCAGAGTTACATAAGTGAGACTGTCCAAGAAAGGTGACCAGACATATTTATTCATTTCATCCATCCCATAATGAAACACACGGTCACTGTGATATGAACATGAATGTGTGCATGTTGCCTTGTCAGATCTTCCTGGTTTATTCCTAACCCTTGTAGGTACAGAAAACTGTTTCCTCAGGCACCCCACAGAAGACAAGGGGTCTTCTTCCGGTCCACAGCTAGTAGACCTGCAGCTTCTGGTATCTGTGATCCATCCTTTGATTTACAAAATACTTCACTGCGGCTACAGCTACAACCAGCACATTCAGAACAAGAACCATGAAGGAGAACAGGCGCAGATGGCTGAGAGGCTGGTTGGAAATTTCTGCTTCATGTGTTTGAGGCAGAAGTCCTGCAATTGAAAATAATTTTAAGGATTAGCAACGACAAAGTTTCGGTAGTGTTCAAAATTGCAAGTTATGCCTTATGGCTCTTATGCATAAATTGATACTATGTAATTTCAACTCACTGTGGGGGAACAATTCTCAAACATCTAAATTCGTTTTGTTTGTTTTGCCCTAGGCCGTTTAGCTGTGGACTGTCTTTGAGTCTTCGCTATGCATTCTGGCAGGTTTCACTATGCCCAGTAATAAGTTAATTGTTCTATGTTAACATAATATTGCCTAATTTGAAAAGATAACTTTTACCAAATAGGCTGTGATGTGGGCACTGGTTGACTTTGTTCCTCATTGAGACATTAAAATAGATTATTTCTAATTTAATTACCTGCTTAAACATCTATAACAAGAAACTTAGAAGCTAAAAGAAAGGGTTTTTTGTTTTGTTTTGTTTTTAGAAACGGGAGAGTATATATACACTCTTAAAGGCTGTACAAATAATGTGTGTGTGTATGTGTGTGTGTGTGTATATATATATATATATATATATATATATATATATGCTTATATCCATACATATGCATATATGATTTATATGATGGAAATATTCATCTTGTGCACTTAGTCATTTGTTTGCTAGAACATCTATGTTAAATTTCTAAGCTGTTCATCCCAGGAAGAACAGATTTGGGCCACATTTTATGAGCCACAGGTGTTCTTAGAAAATGGACAGTGTGCTCTTGCCTGTGTTTCCACTCGCACTTCTGTCCCTCTTCAGGCGAATTGGTCCTATGACAGACTCAGTCTTCCACTTATATGGCGAAATATCTCGTTTCCTTCTTGAGACACAGCCTTGATTGCAGCGAGACGTGGGGTCATCGGTATCACAGATCAAAATCTTACACTTGAGATACACAGAGTTCATATGTCTCAAGAATTTAAAGGCGTTAAACTGGAATCTTCCATAGTGTCCAAATAAGGGGTACACTTCACAAGTCTCATCTCGACTACACCTGGAACAGAATTTAGGGACAGAGCAGAGTTTAGCACAGCAGCTTTTCCATAGGGAAATGAGGTGATACAAGTGTTGTATTCAGTGTGTGACTCTGGGAACCTTCCTAGAGAAACATCAGTGGTTCAGAGTGTTGTGACCTTGAGTGGTTTGGGGGAAGGTAATAAGGTTTCTGCTCTGAAACCCCAAGCCCTGTGACCTACCAGAACATCAACACCTATGCACCCGGGTTCAAACACTTCCTAACATGTCAGGTTTTGACACAGTGCAGCTGATTGCTCAACTTTCACAGGAAAAAGAAGCCTCTTTCAAAACAACATGTGCTTTTTTTTTTCTTTTTTTAAAAAAAGCTACGTCTATTTTCTTGAGCACAACGCATTTTGAGGATGGCACACAAAGACCTTCCAAGTCTTTGCTGAAAATAGCCAAAATATACAAAAAGAAAAATGCAACTAGGCCCTTCTAGACAAATCATATAAGTGTTTTTTCCTCCACCAGCAAATATTTTGTGGTCACATTTAAAATCCAAGAAATATGGAAAGTCTATCTAAATATTTTAATATGAATTATCTGTAGCTAATATATAGTAATGATTTTAAATTATTACATTTAATAAAATTTCACATTAGGAAAAATTTATACACATATACAGATAGGAGTGTTTATAAATACAAAATTTGCTTTATTAAAATCAATTCTACTGTGGGCTGGGGAAATTATTCAGTTTCAATACACTATCATGAGAGCCTGAGTTCATTGCCAACACTCACTTAAAAGGCTAGCATGCTTGCAATCCCAAGGTTGGGGAGGCAGAGCCAAGACAATGCCTGAATTTTTCTGGCCAGCCAGCATAGCTGAATCCACAAGTTCCAGGTCCATTGGAAGACCCTATCTCAAAAAATAGTGAGAAGATGAGGAGGAGATGGATCAGTGGTTAAAGCACATGTCATGAAAGTATGAGGACCCAGAACTTGGGTCCCTGTTCAGAGCCAACATTTGCCAGGTGAGTGCGGTGGCCCACCTGCATACTAGCTCTCAAAAGGTAGAGACAGGGAAAACCCCAAAGCAGGCTGGCTAGCCAAAACAGCCTTCTGGCAAGTTCTAAATTCACCCGAGACATGGAGCTAAATGAATAAGATGTAGAGGGAGACTTCTGGCATCAACCTCAGGCCTCCACAGATGCAGACATCCCTACATGTGAATACTCATGTACGCCAACATACAAGTGAACATGTACAAATACACACACCACACATGTATACAAATAAGAAAAAAAGTAATGAATTAAAAATAACTTAGAGAGTCTTTGAGGAAGACAACTGGTGTCAGTCTCTAGCCTCCACAGACTCGCATGCGCACACTCGCCAGGACATGTACACACATCAGAAAGAGAAGAAAACGCTTGATCTGCTATGGGAGTACATACCCGCTGCTGATTAAGTCATAGGTTGGAGAGGCAAAGTCAGGTGTGGGAGAGGCTTGGCAAGTATCCAAAAACACCACCAGGTTCGGATCTAAGGTGTGCAAAGTGACTTGAACAAAAAGAGTTTGGTTCAAATCCACGTAATATGGTGAGTCCTGTAAACGGTTTTCAAAGGCGCTGGAGTCATAAAGAGCCATGCTGGTATTGTATTTGCCCAGGGCGCTTTCGTTTTGTATGATGTCGTCTTCAGTTATGTACAGAATCTCCACGGTAGAATTATATTCCATCTCACACGTCACCACTATCTGGAGGTGCTTCTGTCGGGTGATCAGAGCAGACATGGGAGCCTTGGTGAAGCTGATTTTGTTGGTATAAGTGATTGTGTGGTCCTCTATCTGCAGGATGGGAAGGAATTCAAAAATTTTATATCTCAGAGCACAGACAAGGATAAGGCTTGCAGGTAACAATCTAATTTCCTAAAGTCATGAGATAACAGCCTCACATACTCTCAACTTTAAATTTGTTTTACTGTAGCTGTGACCACAACCTGTAGAAGGAAAACAGTGAAAGATGGAGCTTGTATGAGAATGACTGGAAGACAGAATAAACTCGGGCGGGATTTTTCTTCAATTACATTAACATCATTGCGGAATGCAAATTTTCAGCCCTATAAAGACTTTAAACCCACCAGACCAGGCCTGTTGGCACCAAGCCTGCTCCTAGGCAAGCTTGAGGCAGAGGGATCATAAGTTCAAAGCCCACTTGAGCTACAGAGGTCAAGGCCAGCCTGGACAACTTAGTGAGATCCTGTTTTGAAACAAAAAGTAAACAGAGGACTGAGAATATAGCTCAGTGGCAGAGGGCTTGCCTAGCAGGTGTGAGGCCCTGGGTTTGATACATAGAAGACTGAATTCTATAACATGGGTTCCCTCCACGAAGAGACCTAAGTAGTTATGGTTAACCAGGCAGTTCCCCACATGTGTGTGGATGGGAGCTTGACCTTGGTGTACCCTAGAAGCCTGGGACATCATGAAGCGTGTGTGTTCACTTCTGAAAGGAAAAAAATGAACAGAATAAAATATTAACTCTTTATCAACTCCTCCAGTCTAGCCTCCATCGTCAATCACAAGGTAGCTTAAGTTTAGAGTATGTATATTAAGGGACCTAAGAGTGTCGACAGAGCTTGAGATCGTAAATGGTATTTCTAAAGTGTGCGGACCAAATCACAGACTTAACAACCCTTCATCTTTTCAAGGAAAATAAGATCTTAAAATCCAGCTCAATTCTACCAAATACAGAATGGTGCTTTCTGTACAGCTTTTCCCAGTGGTCTAGGAAACCCTGACCACCAAAGATATTCCACCTCTGTCTAGTGAGGTTTCAGAGCGCTCTGCCTTTTGGGAAAAGCACCCATCCTCCACCAGTTACCCTGCAAATGAATAAGACAGTCTTGCCTTTGCATGTGAGTGAATGTGCGCACATCTGTGAGCGTGCTTTCTCAGTCCAACCATGAGAGCCCACTGAGGCTTGTGAAAGGCACAGCAAGTTTCATACCTGTGCATCGCCATGTGCTGGGCATGTGACCAGAACACAGCTGTGGGTTTCACAGTACCTTTTTGATTGTACCACATTCGTGCAGAGGGATAGAGAATTCTATGACATTTGATACACTCGGTCTGCAAGTTGGGTCATTTAGTTGCAAGTTGTTCTCATTGTAGTTAAGTGACTGTAGGAATGATTTGCTTATGATGACTCTCATCTTGTCAGAAGCACAACTTAAGGATGCTATCAAGAAAAGGGGGGAAAAGGATTAGAAACAATGATCACATTTGGGCTAGCTAAGAAGTTGGCATTTTTAAGATTTCCATGAGCAAACGAATCTATGAAACATTTAAACTGCTGGAATTGGTGCCACACACCTTTAACCCTAGCAGTTAGGAGGTAGAGGCAAGCTGATCTCTGAATTCTAGGTCTACATAAAGAGTTCCAGGATAGCCAGGTCTATATAGTGAGACCTCGTCTCAAATAACAAAACAATAACAGCAACAAATAACCTGAACCTACTGACTGGGCTGGGAAGATGGCTGTCAGTAACAGAACTTTCTGCTCAAGCATGAATCAGAGTTAAAATCCCCAGCACCCCCATAAAAAGCTACCTGTGCTTATGTATGTGACCATGACCCTAGAACTCCTGGGGACAGAGACAGAATGATCACTGGGGTTTGCTGGCTTCCAGGCTACCTCCAGATTAAAACCCTGTCTCAAGGGAATAAGGCAGAAAGTGCTAGAGCAGGGCACCCAATGTTCTCCTCTACACACACACACACACACACTGACTCATGAACAAACACATGCACATGCCCATTCTCACACACATCTGAACTCACAATACTTTAAGAGGTAGGTGACTTACTAGTGTTGACATCTTCTATGTAAACTGAAGTATAGGAAGCAGAAAAGCCTCTGTAGGAATTGGCATAATCGGTAGACAGCACGACAGTCATGGAATCTGAGGAAGATTCGAAGGTAGGTTGCCCGCGGCCGCAGAGCTGTTTGAGCAGGCCGGATGTGGTGGAGGGGCCATCGTAGAGTGCAATGAAATCAAATCTGCAGTGTTCATCCATTTCTAGGCTAAGAAGGACAGCCTCTGATGTGAAAGCTTTTCGAATTGAGTCAGCTCTGAGTTACACCATTCCTTCTAAAGTCATGAAGGATTTTTCCTTACAATGACATCTCAGATTTAGGATGGCAAACCTGGAACTTTTGTCAGTCCCTTCATGGGACCTCAGAATGTCTAAAAAAATTAGCCGACAGCATTGCTATTTCTCTTTCCACACTGGTTCTCTGAAAAGTATTCGCACTTGGGGGCCTGTGAGTTTCTTTTCTCCCCAGGTTGGTCCCCCAGTTGCTGGGGGTTGCTACAGAAGAACACAATACTTACAAGAGCTCTTTAAATTTCAACTCTATCTTATAGCCTTTCTCCACTTGTATGTGCCATACACAGTATGCCAGCTCCGGGTGTGGCTTTGGATAATTGGGACTGCTGAAGGACCCTTCCAAAGCTTGCAGGTAACCACCACAGTTTGGAACCACTGGAACAATACAAAGATGGTTGTGATTTTCCTGTGATGTATGGAGCTTGGCATGTCCCCCTAGGTATCACACCACTACTGTCTTCCCTGTGGGTCACCTTTGAGGCCTTCGTCTTCTTTTAGAACCAGACCATTTGCCTTTGGTGTGCCTGAGAATGCAGCTCTGCCCTGTTGTCAAGTGAGTCACACGAGGGTGAGCTGAACTGCTAGAGAGGCCCTCCACCCCCCGGGCTGAACTGCAGAATGTAGCCACATTCCGGGGACTGGAGGCTCCTCACCCATCATTGCTGTCTGTCTTACTGGCTACCAGCATGGGAGCTGCTGTTCTAGATTGCCCTTTCTTAACATGTCTGCCCAGACTTCAGCATAGAGCCTTTCTCTACTACTCTCTCCTCTCCGTACACAAGTCATGATAATATTCAAAGTTCAGCCAGATGCAACCTTCCTTGGGCCTTCCTGCCATCATAGGTACAGTAGTGAGCAACATGACAGAGAAAACACAGAGAAGCAAACTGAAGACTCCTGTGGAGGTATAAAATAGTTTAGGTTAGCTGACTCATAGGACCCATGTCAGGTCAGGTCTCCCTGTCAGGTGTGAGGAGCAGGCTGGGTCCAGCTCCAGAAGAGTTTGCTGTCTCCAGCTTGGTGTTTCTGTTAGCATAAGATATCCGTGTAAAGATCAGCTCTTCTAGAAAATCAGAGTGAAGCTTTCTTCATGAACCCGCTGGCTCAAGTCTACGGCATTCTACCCAAGGTAAAACTGGAATTGGCAGACAAGTACGTAGAATCATGGAGCACCTGGCTGCCCAAAAACTGTATCAGTTTCACCCCACATTTGTTTTGTTGTCAGAATCACTCCCAGGAACCTGATAAAGACAAAGCCTCAAGAACCTCAACCCACATCTAATGGGTGTCTCAGAGGTCTCAAGGTTACTAAACGGGCCAAACAGAGCCCTTTGGGCTCAGACACAGCACTTGTCGGCCTGTAGCTGTCTGGTGAGCCGAGTCTACTGCCTCACCAGGGAACTGGTTAGAGGAAAAGCATCATAAGCTTCCCCAGAACTAAAGAATTAGAGTTTCAAAGCTGGCAACTGAATCTGTGACTTCTGTGCACAGAACTGGAGAATTGCCTTTTCCACCAGGGCAGGCTGTGAGGAAACAGACTCAAGAGCACAATGACCCCAGCAGGTGTAGCCTGTGCTTGCAGGGGGCTGGGGAAAGGACATGTCAGGACAACTTACAGGTTCCAGGGGAAAAGAAATAGTAGAAGATAAAGACACTTCTTTGGATCGTTGTCCAGTCAGTGAGTATCTGAAATGTCAGTGAATTGGATGATGATTCAAATACAGGCACGAAGTCATTTTTACTGCAGGCCTTCCCTAGGAGAGGCCCATCGGTGGAGCTCCCATCAAACACTTCAATGTTTTCACTTTCACAACTTCCGTCTGGATCTAACCTGGGAACAGAACACATCTGTGGTTGGAAAAGAACCACTAGCAAAATGGCTTTCGAAATGCATTGTCCCCCTGTTCATATTAGCACAACAGTTTATAAAGTGGGGCCAATCTGGTTCACTTAAACCTCTCCAAGACCAGGCATGAGCCCCACCCCTCTTCAACATCAAACCACAATATTAACGAGCTCAAGAAAGTGAACTAACTTGCCAGCACCTTATAGCTAGCAAATGAACAAAAATAGGCCTGGAATCCAGGGCTGCATTCCTCCTAATACCTCCATCGCCCCTGTTTCCTGTGCCTGCATGGTGACTGTTTAGTATAGATCTTTCTAATTTAGAATCCAGACTCATTGATATTTGATATCTAAGCTTGCTGAAAAACAACTCCTACGTGGCCACCTTCAGGTGAAGCAGCCCCAAGCTGCCTCTTCCTCCCTTCCTCTGGGGCACGGTCCAGTGCTCTGGGCTGAACAGGGCAGCCCAGGATTTCTATTTTCTGTGCATACTGTCAGGCTATTTCCAAACACACATAAAAGGTCTATTCCCAAGATAGCTTTAAGCCAAATATTACAAGCTCAGAAAACCTGAACTTCCTTTTAACCTTAAGCACTTCCGGGCTGTATAGCGTTGGACCAGCAATTTAACGTTGTCTGACCTCAGTTTTCTCTTCTGTAAAAGGAATGTTCTGGTGTACTTTTTTTCTTTTGTTGGAAGTTTTTGTGTTGGGCGTTCTCAGCATGAAGCACCTATCACAAACTTCATAAAGGAGTTGTCCCAACAAATACTGTCTTCTTTCTACTAGGTTTTTCTCTTATCACAATCCTTCTCTTTTTCTTTATATGTCAAAAATGGGGATGGGGGTGTAATTTTCTAGATAGCTCTATGGTTCCAGGAAGTCAGTGAGTTGCCTTCTTTGCATTTCACTGAAAGTCAGTCAATCCCAGCATCTACAATGTAGAGCCCTGTTTCTCCAGGTATGGTGGCTAGAACAGATTAGAGTAACTTGGGAATTTGTTTCTTATGCAGATGTTCAGGCTCCACCTATCTTATTTAAATCAGATAGTAAAGACTCCCGACAAGGCCAGCAAGTGCACTTTGATGCGCCCTCTTGGTAATTCTGGTTACAGAGTGAGAGCCACTGAAGTGAGGAAGAGCAGGAGCCCCGGAGCAAGGGTGCTAGGATTCCACCCCTTTCTTCATCCATTATTTGGTGGCCTTGGTCCACAGCATGGCTTCTCTGAGCTTTCTTATCTGCTGAATTTGGTTACATCTGCTGCAGAGCGGTGCTGAGAAATGAACTGGGGCAGAACTTATGAAGTTCAGAGGTTTTGTAGTACAGAGTGTCTCAGATTTAGCATGTTATAGTAAGGGCATTACAAAACATGTGCAAACGTATGCTGTTTTCAAAATCAAATTTCAAAAATTATCAAGTCTGGGTCCAATCCCCAGAAACTACTGTCTAACTGTATAGGGTGCAGCCTAGAACTGCCTTTTTTTTTTTTTTTTTTTTTGGCGGGGGGAAGTTTCCATGATGGCTCTAAAGTAGACCAAAGTTTAAGGTTTTAAGACCTACAGTCTAGAACTAAACTACCTGGGTACTAACCATGAACATTGTGTGCATTATTTGATGGACCTCCTCAAGCTATCAAATTCCTTGTGTTTATAGCTCTAGCCCTGGCCTCATGGGGCCCATGGGGCCCATATTTTGGCATGCCAGTCTTTGGTGATGACCAATGACCATAATGATCATCATTGTTATTATCGTCATCATGGGGATCACGTCTAGCCTCCAGAAGCAGCTGAATTCCCTCTGCAGAGAGCTCATCTTCCACCCCATCATGGCTAGAGTCAGCACCCTCCTTGAGAAATCGAAGCCTCCACTTACTGGATGTGGGAGAAGATGATCCTGATGCTCCTGTTTTCAGGTCTCTCTATGGTCCAGGTGCAGTTCTCATCAGCATTGGGTTGTAGGATCAGGGCTTTGTGGGTCTCTCCCAGATTGGCCCCTCCCACACTGGCTGTGCATTTTGATCTGCCTGGTAGATACCATAGTTGGCACTGAAGAAAGGAGTGGTCCCTGTCTCCCCAGGAGGCACTAGGATTTAACCTCCAACAGGAAGTAGTTGACCAACATAAAATGGACTCTACAATTTTTTGTGTGCTTTTATTTGATTACAGTTTCTTTTCTCTTTGGGTGTTGATGTATTTTGATGTTGTATTGGGTTTTGGGATTTTGTTGTTTTGGGTGTTTTTTGAGAAAGAATTTAAAGTTGGGTGGATAGGGAGAATAGGATCTGGAAGAATTTGAAGGAAGAGAAGAATATGATCAAAATATGTTTAAAGTTAAACCTATAAGTAGGAAGGTGACTTGGAGAAATATTGTAGTTGCTTCAAACCAAGACACAAGCAATAGGTATGCTCTATGAGTCCTGGGGGAGAAATTGTAATTTCTCTACATGTGGGCCATAAAAAGAATATGTTAGGACTTTAAGAAAGACCTATTTAGAATAGATAAAGAGTTTTTACAATTCAATAGTTAAAAGACAAGGCCAGAGGCAGGCAGATCTCTGTGAGTTCTAGGTTAATCTGGTCTGCTAAGCAAGTCCAGGACAGCCAAGGCTACACAGAGAAACCTTGTCTCAAAAACAACAACAAAAACAAAACAAAAAAAAGACAAGGCCAATCTTCCAGTTTAGTGGTTTTATGGGATTCCTGAGTGGGTGAATGTGTAGGTCTTTGACTCTTAGGCCTTTTCTTGGGCTCTTTTCCTTCTGTTGGTTTGTCTTGTCCAACTTTGATGTGATAGTTTTTGTTTAACCTTATATTTTACTTGTTACGTTTTTGAATGACTGACTGAATGAATGCAAACCTAGCTACTAGGATAAAAGTTAACAACTGAACTGTCATTTATACCTGCTGGGAGAAGAAAAACCAGTTTTCTCCAATGAAATGACACTGCATATATCAGCAGGAAGACCAGAGCAGGTCTTATAGTCAGGAGTAGTTGACTAACATATAATGGACTCCACAATTTTTTGTGTAGTTTTATTTGATTACAGTTTTATTTTTCTATTTGGGTGTTGATGTATTTTGCTTTCTAGGTTTTGGAGATTTTGTTGTTGTATTGGGGTTGGGAGTTGTTTTCAGGAAAGAACTTAAAGTGGGAAAATACGTTGGAACAGAGGATCTGGAAGGACTTGGGGAGGAAGAAAAGAATATGATCAAAATACATTTAAAGTTAGAAATTGTTAGCTGTGTGTTGGCGTTGCACACCTTTAATCCCAGCACTCGGAAGGGGAAGGCAGGCAGATTTCTGTGAATTCAAGGCCAGCCTGGACTACAGAGCTGGTTCCAGGACAGCCAGGGCTACACATTGAAACCCTGTCTCAAAAAAAAAAAATGTTTTAAAAATAAAAATATATATATTGGAAGAAAAAGATGGGGCCAGGGAAATGGGTCAATGGGTAAAGGCACTTGTTGTCAAGCTGATAACCCAAATCCAACCCCCAGAGCCCACAAGTAGAAGGAAACCAACTTCTGGAGGTTATCCTCTGACTTTCAGTTGAGCACTGTAACATGTGAGAACATGTGTGTTTGAGCACACACAATAAGTAACTGTAAAAAGAAAATAATTAAAGACAAAGAACCCAATGAAAAAAATAGGGACAGCACAGTATGGCAGCATATACTTAAGACTGCAGTGTTTGGAAGGCCAAAGAAGGAGGCTCCCACGCAGAGAGGCCAGCCTGGAATTTGTAGTAAGACCCTACCTCACAAACAAACAAACAAACAAACAAACAAACTCGCGTGCGTGCACACACGTACGCACACAGTCCAGCAAGGACAAAAAGAGACACATTTTCCAAAAGGGAAGGATGAGCAAAACCCCTAAGTACTTAGAAACAAACCTTCTGTTCTCTTTTACCTGTGACTGATGACTGAATCTACTTACATTTACATAACAATAACTAGTTTTACACTTGCCTGAAAAAAGACAACAAAAGTAATTAAAGAGGGCGACCGAATCCCACTCACTCAGGATCATCATCTTCAGTAAATCCTTGCTGCGAAGTGATCAGTCTTTCCCTTTCCTTTTCTCTTTTTGATTTTAAAAAATGTTCCGTGCATAGTTCTAGACATACATTGGGTAGTTCTATCATATTGTAAAATTTAATATTTTTCCTCTTAACAGAGACCGTTTCTCATAAATGTAATCTTTTATAACTTACCAGATTATTTCTCGGTATTGTTTTACCCTTAAAAAACATCAGTAACTGAAATTAACATTTAAAAAAATATGCCAATATCCATTCATGTAAATATATACCTTTAGGGCTATTTTCCTAAGATATGCTGCTGTTAAAAGTGAAATTACATGGTGAAATTTGTGTGTGCCCTTTCTATTTCAATGAACATGGCCGTATGGGCCTTAATGAAATGACTATCGTAACAAAGTCCAGAGAGCACCAGGCTGAGTTATTTTCTGTATATTCACTGAGAGCAGCGACAGATACAAAAGCTTTCAAAGTTTTGGGAGAGGCCTGCTAAAAAACCAGTCTTCTTTTGAGTTGAAGAATCTGGTTCAACTTTCTTACCTTCAGCCACCGTCGAATTTAGCTGTGCCCCACAGGAGGCAGCTAAAACAGTCCAAAGGAAAAGCCTTCCAGCGACCTCCATCTTTGCAGGGTGTCTCAGGGCCCGCAGGTTTTTATGATTCTCTGAGTTTTGTAGACTTTCGGTGGCTGGGGAAACGTGTCAGTTTGGCCACACCCGGGGTGATGCTGGTGAGAACTCCACAGCTGTGGAGCTGCAGCCTTGCCAGCAGTTCCCGGCATTGCCCTCACCTTTCCAGGTTGCTCTTCAAAGAGCTGTGGGACCAGCCAGTTCTGCACAGGGCTTAGCGGCTACACAGCAGTTCCTCTGGCCTTGAAAATGATCTGAACTTGAGCCTTGACCCTGTGTGTGCAGATCGTGAATGAAGTGGCCCCACTGGCTTGAGGCCATGACTTCTCCAGGAGCTGGAGTCTTTGGGATCTGGAGCTCAGCAAGCCAGGGAATAGCAAACTCTGGACCCAGATGGGGCCTCAGATGCCTACAGGAGGCTGACCCAAGGGGTAGGGGAGGGACAAAGGATGGGGAGAAAAAGACAACATAGGTCAGGCCTCCCTGCAAGGAATCATAACCCTCTCTCTGAAGAGGTAAAGTGGGTGGATTAGAATCCCTCAGGCACTGAGCTTGCAACTCAGAGATAGAAGTCCTGGTGTCTAACATAAGACTCCGGGGAAGAGTGTGTATGTGAAAGAGGCTGCCCATTCATTCATTCATTCATTCATTAATTCATTCATTCATTCATTCATTCATTCACAGAGCAAAATTTTTTATTGCTTACAGTCCTAGGATGTGGAAATACAGAGCTGAGTACAAGATAGATAGACTTTACTCCAATGGAACCTGCATTTCATGTGGGGGAAACAGATAACAAATTAATCAAAATTCACGTAAGAAATTTCCTGTGACCCACCCTGATCTGCGGTTCCAGAGGCCAGCATGGATCAGGTAGTACTAGTTCCTGGCCTGCACCCTCTCCCAAGACCCTCTCTGATCTGCAACTCCCAAGACCAACTTGGATCAGGAAGCCGCAGGTAAGAGAATCCCCCCCCCCCCACACACACACCTACTGGCCTGCAACAGTGGCCATGTCTGCCCAGGGCCTTCTGTGCTCCACTTCCTCTTTGTGCCCCGCACCCCAGTTCTCTGCTCCCTGACCTGTGCCATTTCTGGGGACCCATCCCTATCTGTAGCCCTGTAGACCAGCATGGATCAGGAAACAGCAGGAAAACCAGAGGACTTGGCCATCTGGGACCACGAACTCTACCTATTAGCCCAGAGACCTATTACCATCAAAGATCACCAGGCCTGCTAATAACAGAGTCAACCACATGGCTAGAAGTCAACAAGAACACCAGCAACAAAACCCAGGGCCGTATGACACCATCAAATCCCAGCTATCCTACCACAGCAAGTCCTGAGGATACTAACACAGTGCAAGCACACGAAAACAATCTTAAGTCTAAGGTTATGAAAATGATAGAGGCCTTAAAAGAAGAAAATAAATCCCATAAAGAAGTGCAGAAAAATACAACCAACCAGGTAAAATAATTGAATAAATTTCTTAAAGAAACACAGGAAAACACAAACGGGTGAAGGAACTGAGTGAATCCCTTAAAGAAATATAAGAAAAGGCAACCAAATGTGAGAAGGAAATGAATAAAACTGTCCAGGACCTAAAAATGGAATTAGAAGCAATATAGAAAACACACTCCAAGGCAATCCTGGAGATTGAAAATCTAGGGAAGAGAATAGGAAGTACAGACACAAGCATCAATAACAGAATACAAGAGATGGAGGAGATAATCTCAGGTGTAGAAGATACAAGAAATCAATAAATCAGTCAAAGAAAATGTTAAATCTAAAAAGCTCCTGACACAAAACATCCAAGAAATCTGGGACAATGTGAAAAGACAAAACCCAAGAATAATAGGAATAAAAGAAAAGAAGAAGACTTCAAGCTCCAAGGCCCAGAAAATATTTTCAACAAAATTGTAGAAGAAAATTACCCTAACCTAAAGAAAGAAATGCCTATAAATGTACAAGAAGCTTATAGAACACCAAATAGATTGGACCAGAAGAAAAAATTCTCCCATCAGTTAATAATCAAAGTACCAAATATAAAGGAAAAAAAATATTAAAAGCTGCATAGGGAAAAGGCCAAGTCACAGATAAAAGCAAACCTATCAGTATTATACCTGACTTCTCAACAGAGACTATGAAAGCCAAAAGGGCCTTAACAGATAACATATAGACACTAAGAGAGCACAGATGTCAACCCAGGCTACTATACCCAGCAAAACTTTGAATCACCATAGATGGAAAAAACAAGATAATCCATGACAAAACCAAGTTTAAACAGCACCTAGCCACAAACCCATCCCCTATAGAAAATAATTATACCCAGGAAACACAGGAAACAAATAACCCCACACCTGCAAAACCAAAAGAAAGGAAGCATGCACACACACCCTACCACCACCACCATCAAATAGCAGGAAGTCATTAATATCTCTTATCATCAGTGGCATCAACTCCCCAATAAAAAGACACAGGCTAACAGAATGGATGCTTAAACAAGACTCATCATTCTGTTGCATACAAGAAACACACCTCAGCAATAATGATAGACATCACCTCAGAATAAAGGGCTGGAAAAAGGGTTTCCAAGCAAACTGACACAAGAAACAAGCTGGAATAGCTATTCTAATACCTATTAAATAGACTTTCAATCAAAATTAATCAAAAGATATGGGGAAGGGCACTTCATACTCATCGAAGGAAAAATTGACCAAGATGATGTTTCAATTCTGAACATATATGCCCAAATGCAAGGGCACCCACATTTGTAAAAGAAACATTACTAAAGCTTAAATCACACATCAAACCCCACACATTAATAGTAGGAGACTTCAACACACCACTCTCAACAATGGACAGATCACTGAAACAGAAAATAAACAGAAAAATAACAAAAAATAACTGACATTATGAATCAATTGAAACTTATAGATATCTACAAAACTTTCCATCAAAACACAAAAGAATACACCTTCTTCTCAGCACCTCCTGGAACCTTCTCCAAAACTGATCACATCCTCAAACACAAAGCAAGCCTCAACAAATACAAGAAAATTGAAATAACACTTTGTATTCTATCAGACCACCATGGATTAAAGCTAGACTTTAACAACAACAGAAACAATGGAATGCCTACAAACTCATGGAAACTGATCAACTTTCTACTTAATGACCACTTGGTCAGGAAATAAAGAAAGAAATTAAAGACTTTCTAGAATTCAATGAAAATGAAGTCATAACATACCCAAACTTATGGGACACAATGAAAGCAGTGCTAAGAGGAAAGTTCATACTGCTAAGTGTTTTCATAAAGGAAGTAGGGAGAGCTCATACTTGCAACTTAACAGCTCACCTGAAAGTGTTAGAAGAAAAGGAAGCAAACACACCCCAGAGGAGTCAGTGGCAGGAAAGGATTAAACTAAGGGCTGAAATCAATAACTTAGAAACAAAGAGAACAATACAGAAAATCAACAAAACCGAGAGCTTGTTTTTTGAGAAAATCAAAAAGATAAACAAACCCTTAACCAAACTAACTAAAAGACAGAGGGAGAGTATCCAAATTAATAAAATCAGAAATGAAAAGGAGGATATAACAGACACTGAGGAAATTCAAAGAATCATTAGATTATACTTCAAAGACCTGTACAACACAAAATTTGAAAATCTAAATGAAATGGATAATTTTCTTGATAGATAACACTTACCAACATTAAATCAAACTGGGCAAACAATTTAAATAAACCTATAACCTCTAACAAAATAGAAGTAATCATCAAAAGCCTCACAACTAAAAAGAGCCCTGGGCCAGGTAGTTTTAGCACAGAATTTTACCAGACTTTCAAAGAAGAACTAATACCAATACTCCTCAAAGTATTCCACAAAATAGAAATACAAGGGACCTTGCCAAACTCATTCTATGAGGCCACATTTACCCTGATACTTAAACCACACAAAGACTCAACAAAGAAAAAGAATTTCAGACCAATCTCCTTTATGAACCTTGATGCAAAAATACTCAATAAAATACTCACAAACTGAATTCAAGAACACATCAAAAACATCCAACAAGATTAAGTAGGCTTCATCCCAGTAATGCAGGGATGGTTCAACATATGAAAATCCAACAACTTAATCCACCATATAAACAAACTGAAAAAAACAAAACAAAACAAAACATGATTAGATGCTGAAAAGGCTTTTGACAAAATCCAACACCCCTTCATGTTTAAAGTCTTAGAGAGACCAGAGATACAAGGCACATATCTAAACGCAATAAAGGCAATATACAGCAAGCCAATAGCCAACATCAAGTTAGATGGAGTGAAATTTAAATCAGGGACAAGACAAGGCTGCCCACTCTCACTATATCTCTTCAATAGTACTTGAAGTTCTAGCTAGAGCAAGTAAAGGAGATCAAGGGGACAAAATTGGAAGTGAAGAAGTCAAAATATTACTATTAGCAGATGATATGATAGTATACATATGTGACCCCCAAGATTCTGCCAGAACACTCTTTTTTTTTAAATCTTTTATTTTTTTTATTAATTACACTTTATTCATTTTGTATACCCCCATGAGCCCCTCCCTCCTCCCCTGCCGATCCCACCCTCCCTCCCCTTTCTGCATGCATGCCACTCCCCAAGTCCACTGATAGGGGAGGTCCTCCTCTCCTTCTTTCTGATCTTAGTCTATCAGTTCTCATCAAAAGTGGCTGCATTGTCCTCTACTGTGGCCTGGTAAGGCTGCTCCCCCCTCAGGGGGAAGTGATCAACGAGCAGGCCAATCAGATTATGTCAGAGGCAGTCCCTCTTCCCATTACTATGGAACCCACTTGGACACTGAACTGCCATGGGCTACACCTGTGCAGGGGTTCCAGGTCATCTCCACAAATAGTCCTTGGTTGGAGTATGAGTCTCTGGGAAGTTCCCTGTGTTCAAATTATCTTGTTCTGTTGCTCTGCTTGTGGAGTTCCCGTTCCCTCCAGCTCTTACTATTTCCCACTTCTTACATAAAATTCCATTCACTCTGCCCATCAGT